AGTAGTTAGTTTTTGTTACGAGAAATACGGTATCACAAAAATCTGGCGAGGCAGTAACGGGTCAGCAGTGTGAATAAAAGGAAACAAGCCAAAGACGGAGAAAGCGATCATAGCGATCACATGGAAACCATGCACCTTCCAGCGATCGTAGATCGTAGATTGCTGAGATAGAACTTTTCTATACCAGCGATCGCTGTTGCTGCGATCGCCACGATTGCTGGAAAGTGGTTTCTATAAGATCGCTACAATCGCTGAACTTTTTTTTTCTCAGGGATCGCAGCGATCACAGCGATCGTAGCGATCATATATGGAAACCAGGCTTCAGGAAGTGTAAGGTAACTTTTATGACTAATGCATTGTTTTCGAGCGAACACGTGGTACAACAACAACAATAAGCTTTATTTGCATGACTATAACAAAGTATTACAGTATTGCAAAAGCTATTTGAATTTAATTATTGATTCTTTTAATTTTACATTAAATATTTAAAATAATTTGAAATATATTAATCATTGCTTAGCTTAGTTTTAACCATCAGTAGGATTAATTATTTCGGAGACAAGTTTGTCTCTCAATTCAAAGCAAGATGATATAAATGAGATTAATTGGATGTTAATAAAATAGTCAGTAGAATTCATCTTATGCGATTGTAGTCGTAGAAACGGTATTATTATCGAAGAAAAACTTGGACGATCTAATAAAAAGTGGGTTTCATCTTCAATTCTGTTACAATTGCAGAACAGAATATGAGTCCCTTGCTCATCGCGTCCTCAACCAATCGTCGGGTTGATTCATTTGCATCATTTTATTTTGCATCAAACGTGTGTTTTTAGTGTAAAATCTTCAATTTGCTCGTTGGCACTTAGCGATAGCTATAACTAGTCAGAAGCCGGTAAAAGGCTCCTGAACTAGTAAAATTTGTATGTATAGCGGGCAGGTTCTGACAATGAGTTTCATTGACATACAGACAGCCATCACGGATCTTGCAAACATTGCAAACTTTAAGACTGCTATAAAGAGTGACTTACTTATTTCGCGAGCATTTCAGTTATAGTACTATAATGATGCAAATATTAGTAGTTAATAGTTTATACAGATTTTAGTATAGTATTTTTACATATTTATGTTTTTGAACACTGCATGTAAATTTTCTTAACATTATTTCAATTTGTAATATTCCTTTTTAAACCAACATTAGCACATGGACATGGTGCTCAGCTTTTATTACTATTTATTATTATTAAATGAACTCTTCAAAAGAAATAAACAAAAGGAATTCAATAAAAAGAAAAAGCAAGCAAAGCAAACAAACAAATACAAAACAAAAATCAAGGGACTCGTCCCGTCGTTACATTTTACAGATCCAAGTCTGGCTAGCGGCCCTGTCAAAATACGCTTAAGGTAAGGTAAGGAATAACGACCGGTATAACGTACTAGGTTTTACGATGAAACAGGCCCTTGTTTTTACCAAGAGCCATTATGGCTCTTGTTTTTACTTAATTACATTGGGTTAAAAAAACATGACAAAAAACTGACCGCTCTGTCTTTAACTACAGTAAATACAATAGCAAATGTGTCGATGTTGACGGTTTTGATGAAGCTTAAACTTCTTAGCTTGGCTTACAATATTCTTTTTCCTCTGAGCCAGGGTTTCTTTATTCTAAGTTTGCAACCACGTGACAAGGCGGCCATGTTGGATGGCAATACAATACAATTTTTTTTTGAAGAATTAACATGAAAATAGAGTTTAGTTCCCAAAGGAAAGAAATGCTTTTGTCCTTTTCATCCAACATGCCTGCCGTGACGTCACGTGCAAACCAGCAATTTGTAATTTTAATGACGTTTATTTGAAAGCATTCGAACTCCTTAAAAAGGCTGAAAACTTATCTACACTATCAGCTAACTTATCCGCTATTTCCCTCTTTACCTTACATCTAAAATTCCCTCTCTCGTCAGATATAATGAAGAGTCTGCCAGTAGACGAATTTCTTTTTAAGTCTTCAAGAATGAACAAAGGGACTTTCCAGCCTGGATATTGAAACTCAACGTCATCTTCACGGAAAGATACCAAACCCTTGATTACACGAGTTTGCCATCGGAGTAAGTCATTGTTCCCCATCTCTATTCCTTGGTCGCCAAGGAGAACTAACAAACTATTCCCTGGCCGGCCGGACACGATTTTCAGTTTAATCTCATCGATGTGGCTGTAGTTATCCAGATATCTTTGCTTTTTATCATCAGGGAGTCCCAGAAAGTGAGGGCTTGAAAACTCAACATCTTCCGGTGCATATGAGATTCTACCATTACGTAGTTTGCTCTTAAACAATAATTTGCCGGCCAAAGGTCCAGGTCCATGCACGGTATAGGAGGGAGCTTCAGCTTTAGAAATCAAACAGATAAGGTACATATCAGATAGACAAAAAAAAAATGTGGCAATTCAGGAAACCTTTAAGTTTCCTCACTTCTTTCTCTTATCTGGAGTACTATTGATAAAGTTTAGACTGTTTGTTTTCCCCGCTCTCTTTTTTTCCCTTTCTTCCGTCAATACCAACTTAACACATGAATGCATGAGTGAGGAGCTAGCTTGCGTTGCAGCCTGCCCACGCACTCGTAAATATTGGTCTAGAGCGTCTGCGACGCAGGCAATCAGGAGCAAGAGTGAAGGAAGTTAACAGAGGTAAGAGAAAGGGGTGAGGATAAAGTAGGAAGAGGCATCGGGAGGCGAAAATGAAGGTGGATGTATTGTTGTGGTTAAATTTTGTCCGCGGTTTAAATTTAATTTCCCTCTGTTTTAAACTCATTATTATACATTTCTATCCCTCAAAAAAGGGTAATAAAATCTAAACCAAGAATAAAATTGAACCACAACAAACATATATTCAAAAGAAATCCATAGATGCATTGACAAGGAAGTTTCCACCGGATGAAAACGTACTGATCTCGATCTACCATCTTGTCTGGGAAAAATACAATAGAACAGCGTAAAATAACAAAAAAAAGTACCCTTTTCTTGGGTAATTTTCCCAATACCTGATGAGCATTTGTTCTCTTCCGCTTTGGTGGGAATGGTTTCAGCCGGTGTAACTCGTCTGGCCTGCGATGGAGGGTCTGGGTTTCCTGACAGCTGATATTCAGACTTTTCACCATTTTTGCTTGGATCAAAAAAATGCTTCAGAGTTTCCTCTTCAATTGGCCTGTGCTTCTTGTTCCAGGAAAATACAAAGCCTTTCCTTCCATCCAAAAATTCTTCGCTGAATTGTACAGAAACAATTCTTCGGGCCCAGGGAGAGATAACTGGTCGCTCTTCCTCGTCTTCACTTTTGTAGTTGTCATCTCCTGCAATGACTGTAATAAGATTACCTCCTAAGAAGAAAAAAATATATTAACAGTAAAATTATCTCTTTTCTTGAAACTGATCTCCGTATTCCGTGTAGAATGCTACAGAAGCTAAATCTTATTAACTATCGTTGAATTCTGTCATCCTATCTCGGTTGATTGCTGATAAACTCTCCAACTTCAGCGACAACTTGCACGTTAAGTCAAGCTTGTTCCTTTCTTATCGCCGAGTTAAGTTGTTTCCTGAGAAGTTAGCCCTTTTATTTAAAAAAACGTACCATGCCCGATGTAAGCTTTTAAACTTTTCAGCACAATATTAATTTTAACATCAATAATTTTATAACAATACTAAAACCATAAACTGGTAACGTTGCGGCGTGACGTCTTTATAGAATAGCGCCATAACAAAGGCAGACGTTAACTGAAACAAAACATCGCACATTGAAATGCTTAAAATGGCACTACCCGACTGTGCGATCGATGAAAAATGTTGCAGTGTTGACGGAGGACGGGGGCGGCCCTCTATTTTCGTCCCCACCCTGAAGGATTTGACAGCTCAAAGGTCTCCACCCCCAGGAATTTACCAAGGCAAAAAAATGCTAATGCATACATGCATGGGGGTCAGCACCCGAGGGAGGGTGAGCTGGGCGCAGCTGAAATTGACTGGTGCATTGCTCGCTTTTTCATAGAGTGCAAAGTTTACAAGGTTCTAGTTTTGCATCGCAAATAATGTTGTTTAGTATATACTAAAACAGTGGATAGTGTTTTTCGGGCGCTCTGATTGGCTACTCAATCAGTGAATATCCTGCACTATTCACTCCTTCACCTCCAGTTCCTCCGAGCAAGCGACGCCAAACTCGCGTAGGTTGCGAGCAAAATGCTTTCCCGGTTTTCTGCCGAACAAACTAAGAAATTTCACAACTAATCAAGCAAGCTATTTCCGAAATACATGAAGAAGGTGACGAAGTTCGGTTTGGAAGTTTTAACAGGTAAAGCTTTGTCTTTTTGACTTGAATAGTTATCGATAAAACCGGTGAAAAAGTTTTTTGTTTTCAAATGCAAATCAAGCTTAAGTCTTGCGTTACTTTATTTAGTTGACTTGTTCATAAATAAGCTTAAACTAAATTTAATAATCTTTTTTACAGAATTATTTTAAATACAAACAGAATTCACAACTCCTTTTGAAGAAACTTCCCCGCAAGAGATAAACAAACGCCTTCAAAAGTTTTATTTGTCGCTAAGAAAAAGCGACGACCGCGGCCGTTCGGTCATCGCGCGCCAAAATTGTAATCGTTGGCAACAGTAAATGAGTTAAAAATCATAATTTTGTGCTCAATTATCTCACTGTTTTAGTATATACTGAAACAGTGTCGGTGGCTAGTATTGGATATTTACCTCGCCGCAGTACTAGCCACCTCCACTTCGGTAAATAATTGTTATTTATATTTTTTAATCACAAATATAATAGCCATCGTCAAGAATCCTTTAGGGAGCGCTCATTTATATTACTGAGCGTCACATTAATCGATTAATATTGACTACAAAAACATTAGTCGAAAGTTTTTGTTGGTCCTTCATACCTTTTTGCACATAGCCGGGCACAAAGATCCGTGAAAGATCAGTTACAATGACATTATACTGTATGCAGGTCGCGTTTGAAATTCTTACCTGTTTTCTGCAATAGAGCTCTCTGATCTGTATACCTTGGTGTAACCACGGCCATCGTTTATCGACAGACGTGACTCGTGAGCGTGAACGACGAAAAAATCAAAATCGATCTGCAGTGCGGGAATAACTTTCTCGCTCAATTCAGCCATTTCAGAAAGGAAGAAGTAGTGACACTCCACTGTGAAATCGAAGGCCAGTTTCGGTTTCGAGGAGTTGAGTAAATTCTCGATGATACTGAGCTCGTAGAGCTGATCACAGTTAAAAAGATGGATCTTTCTCTGTCTTAGCATCTTTTCTAGCTTGAGAAACTGTGGACTCAATAAAAACAGTCAATTCAACCACAAAGAGACTGCGTCACTTTTCCAAGAAAACTGGGGGACTGTGCCGGAATGGTTTACATGTTATCGCGCATGAAAGCTTTGAGGGGGGATACTGAACTCCAGGGGAATAGGGTGGATACATATGAGTAATTTAAAGTCTCTAACAATGGAACGTTCGGTTCCATCTAAGATCGATCCGTGCAAATTGTGATTCGAAAGTCTAAAGCTGCTAACTGCCTGAAAACAGGTTTCGCTTACTTTTATTACGAACATTCGCGACCACAGCCGAATTCAGATATACCGCCCCGTAAACTAGACCGGTGTGTTAGTGTGTTTACTATAATTATTCCGATAAATATCAAGGAAATACTAGACCGTTTAAAGTGAATTTTACACCTACTAGCTCTACTTCGTGAAGGTAAAAATCCCTCTTTTTTCAGGTCTTGAGGTAGGACTCTCTATACCAGTATGGTTGATCACTGCAGGTTGAGCAAGACCCCGCCATTCCAAAGAGTACTATATTCATATATTCAGTCGAAAGCCAGCCATTTTCCCCGGGATGGGCATCGTTAAATTTCTCGTACTTCCCGACTTTGTATTTTTAATTTAATATTTTGTCAATGAGCTGACCCTCATCTTCAATTACCCCAGAACGATGCCATATCATCCCACGGTTTTGTTGTGAATTTGCTGACGAGAAATGAAATACTAGAGCGACAAATTCATCAAGAAAGACTACACAACACAAACAATACCCTTTCTGAGAAATATTTATTTCTCATACTTTCAAACAGAGTTGTTAGACAGACTTGGTAAATACATATGTCGAGTTTCTTCCGCTTTTTCGCGGAATACAGCTATATATAACACAGTATATATAACCCAAACTCGTCCCCAGTTAAGTCACAAATAGCTAATGGCCTCACTTGGCCGTGGTCGGATCAGAGGGTCTTTTCGTTTTCTAATTTAGAAGGCCACCATTGATAACCGAGTAGCCCCTTAGGACGAGGCTGGGATGCAAAAGGAGTCAACAGAGCCAACAGAAAAGAGTAATAAAGCAAATCAGGCTGTACAGCTGTGAGAATTCCTTTATTGTTTTTCCTATCCAATATATTCTTAGGCACGGCTTGACTTTGCAGACTCATTCAGAGAATGACGGACTACTGAAAAAAAAAAACATTCTCATGTACTCTCAGTCTTATATTTTCAAAATTCTTTCAAGTCTACTAAACGAACAGTCAATAATCGCCAAAGGGAGGCTACCAAAGGGATCTTGTGAGCTCTATGTGTGGAAGAGCAATTATAAACAATTATCTGAACCCGCGTAAACCTGCACTTGGCTAAACATTTCATCCAAATTAGCGTACCTATATCAACGCATTATTAGCACACCGCAATTAAAGCAGTTATTTTTCTTTGGGAGTTGTCGCCGCATTTTCCGCATAAATTACTGAGAGGTTAACGTTTCTCGTGCACATCTGTTAATAGTAAATTGCTGCCCCAAATGTCGATAAGCTATATTCTCCACCGCTTCAACGCAGAGAAGATTGCTACCCAAATTAACATTTTTGCACTCCCTTTATTTATGAGTTGTGCTGTACACTTTAAGAAAATTGCTTTGGAAGTCCCACAAGGGGTAATTTTGGTGGGGCCTAACAAACGACATAAACATTAGATTCAGCTGCGGTATGAAATTGGCAAAAGAAATCTGGCTAAATGACCTATTTCCTAATAGGTCTCTCGCACTCTCTGATTGATTTCGACGTTTCTACCAAGTAGTTCTGGTCAGTTCGATGTCTTTATCAAGCGATGGGTTTGATTAGCTTTGAGAAATCACTATGCTTGCTAGACTAAAATACTTTCTGTCATTAACATTCGCCTTTCTCACTGGTCATTGCTTTAAGCCAGATGGCTGCTTGTTCTGATAGGGCATTTATAAGAAATAAATTCCGTAGGGTTCTGTGAACTAAAATGTTAGTTATAAGTTAGCAACCACTGGCAACATAGCTTTTCACAGCATTTTTTTCTATAATTGTAGCAAAGAGAGTGCAACACGGCCCTCCATTAAGCGTGGAAAAAAAAACTTTACAGTAACGAACATGGACCGCACGAACTGCACGGACCCCACGGACAGCACGGACAGCATGTCGAAGGACGCCTGTCAACTGTATAGCTAACGCCTCCATAGCCTGTACTGACGAACGTCACTATGGTGTCAGGTGTGGATTTGTAGTTTTCCATTAGTTCTGACTCCTGTTTCGCTGTAGGTCGCCATCCTTGATGTCTTTGCGTGATGTCCATATTTTTGTATGAAATTGTTCCATGATATATGTGTGTCTGCAATAACTTGGTCCCTGCTGGATAAACAGCTGGTGCTGTTCCACTGGCAGCTGGACGTATAGCTGCAATATTGAAAGATTCAAAGTTAATTCGGACCTATTTAGTAGTGTTTGCTACTCTTTACACTGCACCTATGTTTAGTTGTAAAGGTACACTATAACCAGAAGCTTAGCCACTAACAACGACAAGACCTTCTAAAAATTCGTAATGCACAGTCTTGGTCATTCTGTTGAAACAAGGTTGGCTTAGCCCCACCATTTAACCCTTTGGAGCTGAAAAGCCACACGTAACATAAAAAAACACTTTCTAGAGGAAAACAACATAAAGGGAAATTGAAAAGGAGAGAAATAAGCTTTTAAAATGTTGTTGTCTCCTTGTTTTTAATGCCCTACTGCTTCTCATACCCTCCAGCAGGGTGGTTGTGTCTCATCTGACTAGTATTGTTTAGCTGCAAAGGGCCCATTTAAGACACTTACGCCCAAAAGGCGTATACTGTAAGTTCAGTAAGGAGAGGTGAGTTGGGTTACTCGTTCAAAGAGAGGAGCGCTTATTTCTGTCTGAATCCACCACTGTGGGGTATACTTGTGCTATATTTAGTAATTAATCCGTCATTTTGAAATTAAGTCGTGAAGGCCATGGATCACATTGCCACTACCGTAAATGAGGAGTGCAAAGATTAATCACAAGTTTTCATTACTTCACTCTACAAAACATTTCATCTTTTGCCATCTACCATATGCATGTATCAATATGAAAAGAAAGCGATTTGCGAATTTGATCCTCCGAGACATTCAGAATCGTGGGCAATCGTGGCAAAGAAGATGGTTGCTTGTGTATTGTTTTCCTTGCCTTAGACAAGCAGGGTTCTAAAGCCAGAGTAGATATAATTTCAGGTTTCTCTTTGCCCTACACAGGGTCAGGGATTCAAACGCTTCGGGAGAGGGTAACATAGGGTTTACGCGTGAGGCGTGATTAGGCCCAAATTTAGTGTGTGACGCGTCAAAGTTCCCAAAAAAGCAACGTGATCCGTGATGTGCGGGACTCGTGAATACTTTGTTGCATTTCGTGAAAATCATTGAAATAAGAAAGAGGGATTAAACAAGGCCATTGGTATTATTCTCTGCGCATGCGTTACGTTTTTGTCTTGGTTAAAAACTACTACCTAAAGACCAGACCCTAAAAACCTCACGTGTCCAGTGACCTTTGGAATAATTATCGTCCACTTCGGCAATTCTCGTTTGTTTTCGTGTTAAACTGAGTGAATTGCCCCAGCGAAAGGCCCTAGGCACAGTCGCTGAAGCCTGCACAGAAGGCATCGGCGGGGGTTTGTTAGAGCGAAGGGAGAAATTTCGAGGACACGTGTGCGCACGTGTGGAGAGAAAAGGAGTAGATTAAAACTAACCAAAAAAACTAACCTGCGCCTGCCACGCAGGCTTCTTTCGCTGAGGGATAAAAAGAAGTCGCATCGGGGGCGTTGATTTGAACGCAAGACCGCTGGAAACACGAAATTCCCACATGCGCGACTGTTCGTTAACGCCTTTTAAGATCGCCCCACCGACCTTCCACTGAGAGGAGAAGTGAGGAGAAATTGCGATCATCAAATATAATGCGAATTAGGATCCATGGTGACTGTGTTTCGGTTCCTAACCCCTTTCATTAACAGGTGAGATTCATGACTCTTGAAAATTGGTTTATATTCCACGCGATACGTGTAATGTGTCAAAATTTGTACGTGAAACGGGATCATGACTTCCCCTTTTGCTACCCTCTGGAAAGCATTCGAGACACTCCCGTGGGGAAAACGTAGGAGTCAATTTCTTATAATGCTTCTTGATCTCCAAACATAGATTGTGTGTCGACACTGAACTTTTCAAATCATCGAGGGAACGTTTACCTCCATAACTGTATTTTGGCGGTTCATCCCTCAACTTACGTGTTGGCGCTTCCCTATTGTAAGTTCGCGATTCTTCCTCATCATCCTGAAGAAAACAATTAAATCGATGCAATGTTTTCAATATTTATTTCATACGTTGTCAGCTATTAATAGACTAACCTGACGAAATCTTGTTAGTTTTTATCAGCTAAATAAGGCGACTTAAGAAACAGAGAGCACTATCCGTGCTTCAATCTAGTCTTCGCGCCGCGAAATCAAACACAACTGAAAGGCAAGCACTTTTAACCACTTAAGCTGTAACTGATGTATTCAAATTCTCCAGATTGATATATCTCAGCACAAATTCACCTCGGAGAATAAGTGGCGAGCTTTTCTCGCATATGATCATTTCTTAATTTGACATGAGCCCTGAGTGATATGTACTGATATTATTAGAAAAAAATTTATGTGAAAGGTTTGAACGCAGGAGTCATTTCAAAAGTAGGTTCAGAGTTTGATCGTCCAGGTGAACGTATAGTCCTGAATAGGACTGTTCTTGTCGACAGTGACTAACGTTTCGACAACCTATGCGGTAGTCATCTTCAGAGTCAAAGTGAGTTGCATCACGTCAGTTGATGGTATTATACTCTGGTTATTGATCTGATTGGTCAATTACGTCATGATGTTATTGGTCGTCACTCAGTTAAGCCGTGATGTTATTGCTCGTAATGTAATCGGTGCGTTTCGATGATCTATCCTCAACTTACATGTAAGAAAGAACTAAAATAAATTAAAGAAGAACTCTCTGAGTTTTGGTAGGGCTGCCCACGGTTTGTGTCATCGATTGTGTCATAACCCTCTCTCCCGTTCAAGTCAGCAGTTATGAGAAAGAAATTCCTAGTGAGGACTTTGGACAGCTTCTTCAATACAGAGAAGAGACTCGGGGGCGGTATGTGAAGGAGAGATGTAAGTCCTACCTCTCGTGTCGGATAAGGTATGGCTGGTCGAGGGACCTCAGGTGCTTCGGGCTTCCGCGAGGGCTGAGGGACCACAGGTGCTATAGGCTTTGGCAAGGGCCTGGGAAGTGTGTATTCAAATTTGAATCCCCTTTTGCTGGGATCAAGAAAATGCCGAATAGCTTGCTCGTGAATCGGTCGGTGTTTTTTATTCCAAGAGAATATAAAGCTTTGCCTTCCGTCTAGATACTCTTCACGAAATTGCGAAGCCACCTTCCTTTTTGCCCAGCGCGAGATGACAGACCGCGCTTCTTCGTCTTCATTTTGGTAGTAACTGTCTCCGCCTATCACGATCAACACTTTGTTACCTGAAGAAAACAGCAGAAACCTTATATTATCGAGCAGTTTGTAGCGTTTTGATTCACCGACTGCTCAGTGGTTAGTGGTTTGGATGTGGTATCAAAAGGTGAAGGGTCAAGTTGTATTGTGTTAGTTAAGACACCCACAAGTCTCATGCCTTACTCCAACGTGATGTATAAATAGGTACTGGCCAATTTCATATTGGAGTAAACCTTTCGATAGGTTTCTTGTGGAAAAGGCAAGCCCTGCAATGGGCCGCTATCCTGTTTAGGTGAGTACGTGCTTAATGCTACAGAAATCAAGAAAAGCTCTTGCCCGGTTTGATGAACCACTTGCATGATAATTGGTTAAAACGCAGACTTTATCTTTTATCTTACCTGATACAATCTGTAAAATTCTAAAATTCTCGAGTCTTGTATTTTTCGCAGTAATTAATTTGGGAAGGGTTTTTAACTCGGAGTATTATAAACGAAGAAGCATATTATTGGAAGTGGGGGCGGGGGAATTTAAGTCGATCAATTTTTTTGAATGTACTGTAAAACACTTCCGGTTTAATTTCGGTATGGCTTAAATGCTCTGAAGAAATACTTCCGGTTCTGTCACCTGACAATTTTTCCACGAAATTCTTCTCCCTTTCTCGCGTGACATTCAGCATTAGGGGGTGACCTCGGCGTAATCGTTCGAAATCGAAAGTACTCTAAAGGTTTTCTATCTCATGCTTCATTTACTGATTGATTATCCCCCACTGCGATATTATGAACATGGGATTTAAACAATTTTTCTGTCTGGATGAAAATATGTACAGCGAATACACCGTCTGCATGATCCGTGTCGGTACATTTCACACTGCCGTAAATGCCTACAGCACTTCCTATCCACTTCCGGCTTTCTGAGTATGTGAAGTTCTAAAAGTGTGTTTTCTGGTTTCGATACTTATGCTTTAACTATAGTGGGCATTGTCGTGCATCACTTTTTATTATAAAGTGGAAGATGTAATACATTAATTTACGGGACTACGACTGAATCGGTGAAAGGCTCAGTGGCGAGTGTACTCATCGGAAACCCACCTGTTTTCTCAAGCAAAGCTCTGTAGATTCTCGCGTAACCGATACCAGCGTTGTCCTCGTTGATGGAGAGACGAGATTCATCTGCGTGAATGACAAAGACTGCAAAATCCATTACCAGTTGAGGCAAAGTTTTCTCGCACAAGTCAGCCATTTGTTGTAGACCAAAATATCGACGATCGACAGTAATTTTGAAGCCATATTTCTCCTCTAATTTAAGCAAAAACGTTTCCACTATCTCTAAATTATAAGTTTCATCACAGTTAAAAAGGTAAAATGCGCTAGACTGATACGCCATGCCGTGTCACCTCTATGTACGGCAGATGTCGCAGAGTTTTGCTTTTTGTTTGAGAATTTCGTGGAATTACCGGAAAACGAGACGTGCAGTTCGTTTCTGTAGTGGCAAGGAAGTGGAAAACTCGCACATTTCACAGAATCACGCAATGCAAAGTGATATTATCTGGTCACGCAACACGACTCCTAATAAGCTGCCCAAGCCCCGTGCAACAACTCTCAACATTGTTGGATGCTACATGTTGCGTCCGTTTGCACACTCTGTTGATTGTTGTGTGTTGTTGCGAAAAGTTTAATTTGAAACCGGTCAAACGTTTAGCTACAACAACTCCCAACATTGTTGGGCCTACAATGTTGAGATTGTTGCGTCCGTTTGGACATAGCTTAAGGGTAGCAGTTTTAGAGACGTCAAAGTTCCAATGGAGTATCAAGAAAAAAATGACTTGAACATGCAAATTTTTTCTAGCATAAAAATGACTTAAACATGCATGCAAAAAGTAGATGATATTAAGTCACTTAACAAGCCTTTTCGCTTTTCCGCATACTTAAAAAAGCTGATTATAGCAACAAAATGCGTCAACTTCCTTTTTGACATGAATAGATTGAGATTGAGATGGAGATTCCAATGGAGAAGAATTTAAGACTTTGTGATGCAGCCCTGCCTGAAAGTTTGAGAATGGTTAGGACAGAGTAAAATCGGCTTTTTTCGGCTTGCTGTTACAGTAAGCGCCCAATCTCCACGATATAAGTATAGGTAATGGCATGATTTGTAGTGATATTTGCCATAAATACCACGAGTGATATTTCAAAATTGTTATACGTAGTTTCACGAGCCGGTAGGCGAGTGAAATTTGAGACAATTTTGAAATATCACTAGTGGTATTTATGCCAAATATCATGTACAAATCATGCTATTATTTGTTTATACTACTACCCGCAAAGGTTTTGTAATTTTCACATGTAGGTATTTCAAATTAAGCTGAAATACCACTGCTCTTAGCCAATCAAATTGAAGAAATTTACCATGTAGTAGTATAAAGGATAAAATAGGGATCTTTAAAGACTCTTTGAACACAGAGGGTCGGTTATTTAAACGAAATCTAACTTAGACCGCGGTTTAAGAAACCTTTGGACCGTGTACAGAAGATAATTGCTCTCCTAGTTAACACTATATTAGCCTGTACACAGACTTTGTTTTATTTTTCTTTTCGTTTTTTTCGATAATCGGCGAGCGTTTTTATCTCTTTTATCACGCGCGCTCGACGGACTTTGAAGAGAAAATAGAGGGTCTACGAACAGGCTGACACTATATGTTTTAATGAAATTGTTCACGCCAAATGGTGTTTAGATCAAAAAGTTGGGCAAACTGAAAATGACTTAGAACGTGGTTTTGTTAAACACTAGTTAAACTCCGTTCAAATAACTCGCGTGCAGGCGGGATGTTTCAAAGTCACCGTCGACCGCGGGGTCGACCGCAGGCCTGTCGACACATCTTTGGCCGAGGCACACAGGGTAGTAAACGAGAGTATCACGTGACCAAAATCGCAAATAAACAATGGAAATGAACAAAAGTAAATTAGAAAGAGTAAAAGAAATCAGTGTCCGTAAGCAAATGTTAAGAAATGTTATCTCTTCTGATGGTGCAGGCATCGCCCGAGTATATTTATCAGTCTAGCTAAATCTTCTTCTAGTCTGCGCACGGACGTCGTTTTATTTTTATTTTCGTTCTTTTCGATAATCGGCGAGCGCGTCACTCTTGCTCTACCCCTATCCTCTTGCGCTGGCGGTCAATATAAGTCCCCTGCGGTTTTTATTTTTTCTTTAGCTTCATCCTTACGAACAGCTGCGACCCACCGCCGTTGACGAGCATAAGCTTGACAAAGTATAGCGAGGCGGGAAAGCGTTACGAAGCCAAAACCCGGGGCCCTAAGAGCGTCTGCGTGAGAGGCTAGAAAAACTATTAAACAAGCAGTTCTGTTTTCTAAACCCTGGTTTAGCCATTTGTGGCGACGCCTTCAAGAGCGTGCTTGTGTGCAATACGTTATTCATTCACAGAAGTCCAGAGATTAATTTTTATTGGCAACTTTTTAATTACGATATAACTATAAACGTTGACCTATCCATCCTAGTATAAAAAATCTATATCTTTGAAATTATTTATTCTTCATTCTAAGCTCTTAGTCTAGTGGACGTTTTAGGGAATTACACTTAAGGCCTTGCTCTATTCAAAGGCCTTTCTCCACTCACTCACTCTATGGGCGACCTGAAGTTGAGAACTTTGCTAAAAAAAAAAGATTTTTTTATTTTTAAAACTTCTGTCCCACTCAACTAAAGTTTCAACCTTAAGAAACCAGTGATTCTGAAGTGATATGGAAGTCTGAAGTAAGGTGATAGTTTCCTCACGTCAGGTAACTCGCTAGGGGGTGAATGACAGAAGGTTAAGTTCACACCGGATAAATTAGCTCTTGCGCCGGCAAGAAAACCAGATAGAAGCGGAGCGAAGCTGCGCCTCACCGACGTCGAAAGTGCAACGTCACATATCGGATAAGTTCTGTGTCACACTTTGATGCAGTGTGAACAGGTAATAGGACCGTAGCGAAAGTGAATAAGTAAGAGTGAGGACTGGAATCCTCTGAGACGGAAGTAAATATTTAGCTGTGAGGACTGGGAATTTAGTTCACCAAGACCCTCTCTAACAACTGCTCCGGCAAAAGTTTCGAGGCGTTTAACGACTTGTTCCAGTTCTGTGCCATTACTTTACCGGATTGCTTTTTGTGTCGGAACGAAAAGCAATCCGGAATAGTGTGAACATAGCCTGAATAAACGCATACGTACGGGTTTCATCAGCGTAAGTTATAGTACCGGAAGTCATTACCCCCAGTTCAGTGTATCCTATTCTCCCCGTTTACATGTAACACGACATATCGGTTAGTATCCGGGGAGGGGGGTAATCCTGAGAATTCTTGGTGGGGGTGTGCTGCCCGGTTCTCCAGATCCTTACCCTATTTCAGACCAAAAAAATGTCATTTTTCACACCCGTTATCAGACTTGGGGCCTGTTTCTCGAAAGTCTCGGTCACTTTTGGGGCCAGGAAAGCTGTTTTGTGTTTGCTGTGTTAGCCTTCAAGATCAAAGTTCAATAAAATTGAAAATAATATACAACGAAGCTATCAGTTAACGAAGCAAAAAAATTGGTGCGTGGGCTAGGAAATAACGCAACAACAGTTTGATAATGCGCAGCATTAGTTAACAGTTCGTTAACCCAAAACCTGTTGAAAAAACTTGTCACAGTTTTGGAAACCATCTTGACGAGTATTAAGCAATTACAGTCTTTGTATGAGAATCTATTGTCGAATAATTTCCATAAAAACACCTGTTCAGAAAAAATAGGAATTGTTGACTAAAGCTTCACTCCTAAGGATTCTACTGAAAACTTTTCGGGGCGTTAGATGCAGCTATATTCACTAGAACCAGTTTTTAAACAGTTGAAATTTTCTACACATTTGTCTTTAAAAATGTTTCTCCCTGGCGACTTAAATTTCCCGGGAAATTGCATTCAAAATTGGAAAATCTAAAGCAAGCGTCTGGAGAATTCTAAACACAGGAGCGGCCCCAAAAATATGTTAGTAAAATCCTTTGCTGCGCAGCATTAGTTAACAGTTCGTTTTGTTTTTGTTAAGTTTTTGTTTTTTTCAGATCAGAACAACCGTTTTACGGAACTTATTCAAAATTAGATTCTCTTACAAACACCCTAATTTCTCACGCGCTTGTCCAATACTCGTCAAGATGGTTTCCAACACCGTGACAAGTTTTTTCAGCAGGTTTTGATTTTGAAATTTGCCTTCGGACCCGAAAAGTTTCCTGGTCTTTCGAGAAACGGGCCCCTGGCCTCTAATTAAAATCCATACGCGTTTTCAGACCTGGCCGCTTAGCAATAATGTAATCATAAGATAAGAACGTCAGCAAAACAGATTTCTTAAAATGCACTTTGAATTCGCGTATTTCTTTCTTTCTTATTCATGTGGAATGGAAATGACAAATACGTCCATACACTCTCATAGTTTCGAAACCACACCCAATTCCAGACCAAATAGGCAAAGTCTGTACCCGTTTTCAGACCAAAACGGCGCAAAACCCATTCCCTTTGGGGCGTCACATACCTATATGGCTTTTAAGGGAACACCCCCCCAGGATTTTTCTGCAATGTTAGAAGTGTCTAAATTTCTTGAAAATTAAATATAGCTTTTGAAACCAGCTTGTACTTGTGGCGTTTTTGCACTAAATGGCCACACAAAGCTCACACAAATTAGCGGCCCCGGCACCACCCCCAAATGTCCCTCAAGCACTGAGCAAGAATCCCACAGCACTGAGCAAGGATCTCACAACACGCGACCATAAATCTCCAAATCCCCCAGTCGCTTGTGCTAGGGGAAGGTTTCAGCTTGTCATACTTATAAGTGATTGATCCATCACCAGTTTGGTAGAACGTCACTGTAAGGACAGGGTAGGACTTTAGGTCGGTCTCCACATCTGCCTCAAGTTTCAGTGAAGGTCGCCATCCTCTTTCTCTCTGCAAGACATCCTCATCTTCATAAGAAATCTTTCCATAACGAACTTTTGCCTCCAATAGAATGATGTCTCCTCCTTGGTAAGTTGCCGGCGGTGTCAGTTCACCAGGCCCTATAGCTGCAAATGTCAGTTCGTTAAGTTCATTTATCGAGTAATTCCTTATAAAGGAATGCGAAAAAAAAAAAACAGTATTTTATAATTAGGCTCTCCGGAGCATCCAAAACTAGCGAATGTGAGCGGAAATTAGACTGTTCACAGCCCCCTATTTTTTCGTAGCATTGACGGGATCGATCGAGCACCCACCCCTACGGGCTCGCAGCCATCTTGGTTCCAAATGTACCGAATCTACTTTGGGGGGCGGGGGACGGTTTGGAAGGACTCCCCCACTGCTATAGAGCCCCGGACCGGGACCATCCCCCTCGGTACATTTGAATCTAAGATAGCCGGTAAGCGCCCGATCCCGAAGATCTTACTGGAAAATATGTAAAAAATAATGCATTATGAACAGGCCAAGCTGGTACAAAAACCTATAACCTTAAAACGAGCAACTTTTATGTACACGTGGTGTCAAGGCGTTTTGTACTTGGCATTAAGGTGGTAACACAGCTTTTGATATTAATAAAGGATATAACCAAACACCTATAAACTTTGACAATGTATGATATGCAAATCGGATATCATTGAAACAGAAAGACTTTCACCTCCGTAAGTGACTTTCTCCAAGTCATGTTTCAACTCACTTTTTGGCTGATCCCGATCCCTGAAAGATCTACGGTGGGTTACAGTATCTTCTTTATTGTCCTGGATAAGGTTTTCCTTGTCACTCTCTACCAAAGACGACTATACGGGGAGTCAAGAAACTTTACTTTAATACGAGGTACAGTTTTATGAATTCTATATATACCGAAGATTCTCTTTAAACAACCTTCATTGATTCATCCAGTAGTAAGATACTCTGGCTGAAAAGACTGAAAAGGATGAGTTGTGTCACCCATAAGTATAATTAAAACCATTTTTAATAGCAACAAAATAGCAACAACCTCGCGCAAAACCTGTTGAGACATATCGCAAAAAATAGCAAAAATGGAAACCGTCGCCATTGTCGCCAAATTAATTTCCGTTTTCTCTTATCCAATGTTGTTTAAGATGACTAGAGAATCATGTTGCTTTTTAGACCAAAACAACGTTAGCGTTGAATAGGGGGTGGGGAGGGGGCTTGCTTTAGTTTTGTTTAAACGAGATACTGATAGTAGTATGGTGCAAAAGTTAAAAAATGGCGATGGAACTGTCTCAGTAGTTTTGTCCGAGGTTTGGCCAGGCTCTCATCAAGTTGGCCAACTCCTCAAAATACGGCCTTAAATCGTGGAGGTTTACAGCACCACAAATATGGAATTCAATACCAAATTCATATAGAACTATATGATCTTAAATACAGAAGAAAACTGGACTTGACTTTACTATAATTAACTACTACTACCACTCTATTGCATTGTAAATAGTTCCAGCTTTATCTTATTTGTGAAATTTCCTAGTATTATGTAAATAATTTTTTAACATTAATTTTATCTTTTCAATCAGTTATTTTTTATTTATTTCAGTTATAATTATCTATTCGTTTTTAATTTATTATTTTAATGTGTACTAGTACCTGCAAAGTAGCTACTGAGTTTTCTCACAAATAGCTAAGCGTATTTTACACAATAAACCTGACTTGACTTTTGACTGGGAGTTAGGGGAAGGGAGTTCAACCCTTTTACTACCATAGTGAATGATGGAGTCCTGTTAAGAGGTGAGTCCGTAAAGGAAATCTTATGGTGTCACCATTTAAATGAAATGCCCTTGGCAGCACTTAAGATGGAATTTCGAGTGAACGATGGAATGGCGAGTGAAAGGATTAATTATTTATTATTAATTTAACGAAAGAAGGAGGTTATCGCCTACCTCCCTGCCTAGATCTGTGTCTGCACTAGCCGGTCGAGGATCCAAAGGCGGTATGGGCTTCGGCAAGGGCTGAGGGACTTTAGGTTCTGTGGGCTTCGGCAACTGGGGTTTGGGAGGTGTGTATTCAAACTTGGATCCCCTCTTTTCGGGATCGAGGTAATGTCGCATTGCTTCCTCGTGAATCAGTCGGTGTTTTTCATTCCAGGAGAAGATAAAGCTTTGTCTTCCGTCCAGATACTCTTCACCGAACTGCGAAGCCACCTTCCTTTTTGCCCAGCGCGAGATGACAGACCGCGCTTTTTCGTCTTCATTTTGGTAGTATCTGTCTCCGCCTATCACGATCAGCACTCTGTTATCTGAAAAAAAGACAATACGCGGAAACGTCATGTACAGTGAGTAAAAGCAGTTTTTAGCGTTTTGATTGACCGTAAGGGAGGCGAGGCTGCTCCATGATTAATGCCTCATCACTCCTGTGAAGAGGAGTGACAATCAGGACACTCTTGCAAACTGAGGCCCTTTTTGACGGGCTTATTTTTGGAGGGGGCTTATATTCGGAGGGGCTTATATACGGAAGGAACTTTGCGTTTCAAAATCGGCCAGGCTTATACTTGGAGGGAAATTTGCGTCTCAAAATCGATTGGGCTAGCTTATAGTTGAAAGGCAATTTACGTCAGTAATTTCCAGAATGTTTTTACTGAAACTTGCCTTGGGGACATAGACGTTTCTAAAACGTAGCCATGCAAGTACTTTGTCAATACGGACCGAGGAAATAAAAGCCAAGAGTGAAGAGGATCCACGCAAACAGCAATTAACTGTGACACTGTCTGACTACAAACACTTGGCACACATGTAATAGTTCTTTGGCAAATGCAAAAATTTAATATGTCACTGTGCCGTTTTTGCTTTGTTTTATGTTGTATTTGAGGGCACTTTCCAAGTATAAACCCCCGGGGGTTTGTATTCGGAGGGGCGATTTAACGGACGGTTTTTTGCGTTACGAGTTTGAGGGGCTTGATACACGGAGGGGCTTATTTTCGGAATTTTACGGTAGTTCTGTTCTTCAAGTATTTCGTCAGGGATGACCTGACTGCTTCAGAGAATGATTAAATGCGACACATTTCCTTATACTTCAAATATTGCCAGGAAATAACGTATTCTTTTGTTTCTTGGCCTTCTAAAATGTAACTAATTTTCTTGTAGTGATAGTCATTCCTGGAAGAAAATAAAATTTGCTTCTTTAGTTTTGTTTACTAGTACAAACATTTTGCTGACAAGATCCATTAGAAACAGGCACCTTTGTTTAGCTTTGTTTCGTACCTTGATCCTTCGTACATATCAAAGTTTTTTCTTTCTAGAAATGCTTCCGGTTTTGGTGATCACTGCAATGTGTCTCTTCTTTCCAAGAAATGCTTCCGGTTTTGTCAATGACTGTGCAAGATCTTCCAAGAACTGGTATCGCGTGACAATCTTCTAAGAAATACTTCCGCCCTTTTCGGGTGGCATGCCGTGACAGGCGACCTCGTGACGATCGAAATCGAAAGTACTCTATGGAGTTTACTCTCTTCTTACGCTTTCTTCATTGATTTACCATTTTTTATCCTGATTTTTTTACACAAACCGGATTGAAGCAGTTTTTAATCAATAAGAACCTTAACCGTGAAAGGCAGAACAGGCTGCAATGTTTGATTAATATAGAGAGAAATATGGCACTTCCGCCTTTCCTGTGTATGCATATGTCAGCTGATATGTGGCTTCAGTAAGTTTAGTTGTTATTTATGTTTGATACTTATGCGTTTGCATATTGCCATGTCTTAAGTTTTACTACTTGGGATCTACAGCATGAAATTTGCCAGTTACATGTGTTGTTACTTTAAAACAACGGCGTTAACTAAGGGACAACATTCAGAAACCCACCTGTTTTCTGAAGCAAAGCTCGGTAGATTCTCGCGTAACCAATTCCAGCGTTGTCTTCGTTGATGGAGAGACGAGATTCGTTTGCATGAACCACAAAAACAGCGACGTCCATCACCAGCGAGGGTAAAATCTTCTCGCACACCTCACCCATCCGTTGCAATCCAAAAGCAAGACGATCAATCGAGAATTTGAAACCATATTTCTCCTCAAGGTCAAGCAAAAACTTCTCCACTACTTCTAAGTTATAAGTGTTGTCACAGTTAAAAAGGAAAAATTTTAACTGATTCGCCATGTCGTTTTCACCTCAATACTTGTCGCGAGGTCGTCTCTTTGTTGGGGAATTTCCCGGAATTTGGGACGACATCCGGGAATGCGCACTCGCCGAACTTGTTAGTGGTCACGCAAGGGGTCACAAAATTGATGCTTTTCCAAAGGCGCCAATGTAGGAAATGGTATTAAGTGAACAGATTTATATTCAAGTTAATGAAGATCGGGGAGAAAAACAAAAATTTCTACGAATAAATAAGTCTGTAGACAGCAAACAATAAGGATTCAAACGTGTTTATTAAACTTTTAATCAACACGACCAGAAAGCTTGGTCTTGAAAGATAGACAGAACTAAATCGACCACATTATTGTTGTCCTTTTCAGCAACATGTTGCTACGATATTACATGTAATCTGTACTTGCAGTCTCAGCGACCTGTCTGCAGTCAACGGTTGTTTACCATTTACATGAGAAAGCTGGCAATGTTTACCATCCTTGGTGCACAAATCAGTTAACGGCCGCGAAGCCTGAAAATGGTATCAAAGTTTCCTCTTGGAACCTTTCGACGGGAAAAACAGGATTACCTTGTCAGATGTTCCGTTGCTCCCGGAAATTTTCCACTGGAATAACATAAGAAATCGTACGCATGTTCCATAGAACACGCTTAGGGGCAGGCTCATATCACGAACAGCTGTTGGTAATCGAGCCTTATAAAGTTCCATTCACTTTCCAACCAGATTTTTCGGAATCTTTTCGTAAATGGTAAACAATTAACCGCGCCTAAACTAATCCTTACTACTCCACAAATACCCGAGCAAGACAACCAGGCTTAAAACGCACGCCACAGTACAGACCTTGTAGTTTCTCTTAAGCCAGGAAAAACACGGTCGAAATCTACCGGAAGTTGACAACCAGCGCTCCCACCAATCGTCAGTTGTCACCTTGACAACCGAATAAGAAACCTCTCCGTTACCAGTGCTGACGAAAGTTACTTTAGCCAAAGGTGTGGACTTGAAGCCGCTCATAAGGTCTGACACCTGTTTCGCTGTTGGTCGCCATCCTCCTTCCTCCTGGAAGATGTCCTCAGTGTTAAATGAAATACTTCCATAACGGACGTACGTCTCCAATAACACGGTCCCTGCCAGGTAAACAGGTGGTACTCCACTACCACCCATATTCAAAGCTAGAATATGAAAGAATCACACAGTTTATGAGATGCATGTTGTACGTTGCCTTATAACTCTATTTCTCAACAAAGCGTGTCCTACGCACAAGCTCTTTTGACTTGTTACTTAATCCCTGCAATGAAGGGGTGGGGGCGGGGACGCCTGACGACAATCCCTGGGGTTCTGTCTCCAGCCGTCTTTCTCGAGGCAAGAGAGAGAATCCTGGAAACGAGGTTGGCTTGGAAAGCTAAAATACACCTGCAATGGAGCCGAACAAGTGAAAGGAAAGAAAGGAAATTATATCATAGAGATGACAACTACCTGAGCTGGCCATTGACAATTTCAGATAAGAACCTTTTTTTACACAAAGAATGGTCTATTTCATCACAATTAATGATTACAAGAAGGAACGTTTCAGAGCATATTTGTTCTATCAACATCCATATCATATCAGATTACGATTCGATAACTTTAAACATCGGCGTAATTAGATACAACGATCAACAACTAAAAAAAGAAAAACAACAACTTTTTAAACTTCGGAAAAACCTACACTTTTAACGCTATAACTATAATTCGGTTTTTTGTATGGGTGGTTCGTCAGTGACAGATGAAGGTTAGACAACCAAGAGAAGATCCTAAAAAAGGTGTATTTCTATGTTAATAGTAGTATATAAGTTTAACTATGTTTTTCCAAACACCCAAAGAGAGAGTATTTCACCTTCATAAGTGCCTTTCTCCAAATCATATGTCAACTCACTTTTTTGTGATTCCCAGTTGTTGAAGGGTCTACGGTGAGATGTATTAGCATCTCTAAAGTCCTAGAAAAGGATACACAAGGAGACTCAACAACTTTGAATTATGATGAATAAACAGCTTCAGATTTTTATGGTAATTGTTATTTGAATTCTATTTAGCAATTAGACTTCGATTTTGTGTTTTCTGTGAGTCTATGGTCCACCTGGAAAAACAACATAATTATCTTTTGCACACCGAAAATTTTTGAAAACGTCTCTTGTTTGGTTTCTACTAAATGCTGCCAGTTTTAAAGGGTGGGAAAGCCCGGGAGAGTACTTTCTTATAAGAGGCTAATGAAAATGAGCCGCTGGATAGGGTCTCATCTGAGTGACTAAGATGGGGTCTGTAATTGGCCACAGAATAGACTGTAATGGGGTATGGGCTCTGAGAGGCCAGCAGCACATGCCCGGAGGGGGGGGGGGGCGGAAAGGACCGTAACTTGCTGCTTATCGTCAATATTCAATTTAAGGTAAATAATATTTGGACGAGAATAGAAAATTTGTCGCAAAAAGTATCGTCCTCGACTTGATAATATTTTTTAACTGATTGGTTTATAATAATTTTGTTCTTCACAGGGAAGCAATATTGATTTGATTTCTCATACTAACTACCCGACATAGGGGGCATTGAACCTGTTTTAAAATAAAAAAATGCCCGGGGATTGTTAGTTGTAGGAGGAGCGCTCTCTTGAATTGACTTTACAGAACATTCCTTAGAGAATTAACCCTTAGTTCATACATAAAGGATGTTTGGAAGAAAGGAAACGGAAATTAGCTTTACCTCCGGTCTCGGGTAAGTGCCTGTTGTCCAAGGGGCCACAGATGGTTCGGGCTTCGGTAAGGGTTGAGGGACCACAGGTGCTACGGGCTTGGGCAAGGGTTTGGGAGGTGTGTATTCAAACTTGCACCCTCTTTTGCGGGGTTCTAGAAAGTGGTACATCGCTTCCTCGTGAATCGGTTGGTGATTTTCATTCCAAGAGAAGATGAAGCTTTGTCTTCCATCCAGAAACTCTTCACCAAACTGGGAAGACACCTTCCTTCTCGCCCAGCGCGAGATGACAAACCGCGCTTTTTCGTCTTGATCTCTGTAATATTTGTCTCCGCCTATCACGATCAGCACTTTATTATCTGAAAGCAAAGTGGCAATATGGAATGGCTGTAAATTGAGCAGTATACAGAGTTTTATTTCACGGAAGATCACCGCAGTTATAGACGCAACTTTTGCAGTTGCGAAAAGAAACCTTGACCTCTGCGATACCGGTGCAGCGCTGTACGAATTAAGCTAACGAGACAACCGGGAGCAGGTCGTTGAATTGGTTCGTTATAAACCCGTTAAAGGATGATGATAAAGTTATGAATATATGAAAATCATATTTTTAAACTGCGGAGTGAAAAATTATTGCCCCCCGTAGGGATTTCGCCCAGAGACGATATCCCGAGGAGGCACCCTAGTAACTCGCGCGTATATTAAGGACAGTACTTACAGTTCCAATATACAGTCAGTATACTAGAAAAAATCTCGATTTGCTCGAACTGAGGCCGCGAGGAATCGGTAGGTAATGATGACGTTTCTATTGTTTGCGCCCGCAAGTACGAAATGGTTAGGATGACGTAAAGACAGAAAATCCCGAAGGGACAGCGCGCTCAGGTAGATTTTATGACATTTATTGTGCAGTCATACTTCGATACTCTTTTGCGTTACGCTGTGACATTCTGTGGAGCAGTTGTTTTGAAAGTTATGGACCAAAAGACACTCGTTAAGCGCAGGGGAGGTTATAAGGTGCGTTTAACTGTGTATACATAAACACTTGGAGAGTTTGCCAGACACGAGTTCACAAATCTTTGATTTATATTGAAAACCTTGCCAGACACTCTTTCCCTCTCTTTGACCGGAATAAGACTCAGCCCCAAACAAGCAAGACGAGTGAACAACGGCTAACTTATCCCTAGCAGATTGACGGAGATTTACAGAAATTCGCCGACTATCAAATTCTGTGCTGACTTATTCCCTGCTCACAGATGTCATTCCGTTACAAAGTTTCAAGTAAGACTAGAATGCGCTAGCGTGAATCGATCAAACGTCCTTTTAATTTCTAAGGCTTACTTTCCGGCAAATAAAATGAAGTGAATGTAAAAAGGGAAAGAGAAATAGCGAAAAATTCAACTTCAAATTAAATCTTTTCTTATGGTTTAGAATAAACTATTCTCGAAACTGAGAATGTTTTGATCAAAGCTGTGTAAATCGAGCTGAAACTGTGCATGGAACCTTGCGTTTCCTGCATTTATCTCACCTGTTGTGTGAAATATGTGAGAAAATCTTCATTATGAATCGGCACATTTCAAAGAGCTACACAACCAGCAAGAATACTATTGACCGACAATATACAGAACGGGGGCAGCTGTAGTGTCAACTATTACTAGTATGAAGGAAGATCATTGCAGTTATAGACGCAATGGAAACGTTGCGTCTATAACTCCGATGATCTACTTTTATATAATGACCCATTCAGACCCTTTATAATTCTTCACTCCGCAGTTCACATTTATGATTTTCATATATTCATAACTTCATACAGAGTTTTGATGTGATACATTAAACCTGGCTGACAGGAAGGTCAGGATTTCAACATATTCCTGATTATCATGGCTCTATTTACATTCTACCCACTATTTTATTACGATCAAACTATCAATCATTTAATTTCGCGGGTGTGTGTTAACTAAATTTTCTACAGTTTATGTTGAATTCAGTGTTACAAAATCTTTCCGAAAAGCGTTTCCGATTTCAGTGGTCACCTTCCATACCTGAGGTCTTTACAAGAAATGCTTAAGCCCTTGTCACCAGGGCGGATAAAGGTTGGGCGGTGAAACGAGCACTCTGCTCTGCATTTAATGTGTGATGCGGAGTAGGACTGGCACGAGCGCTCTTTCCGCGCTTCCGGTGCGCTTGAAGGCCGGCGAAATTTTCCTTTTTGCAAACCCGAAATCCTATTTTCTTTCTGTAATTTCAGGCTACAATGTTAAATAGATAAATTCGTTTCATAACAATATCAATAAACAGTTTCATATTTTTGTGTCTGTATGCCCTTAAGTCAAACTTGTTGGTAGTATAATGCCAAAATTTTAGTTTAATTTGAAAGTTTTGAATACTTCCTCCTTCTACTAAATATCGCCTAATCGTCTTTCACCGTTTCGTTTGCAAAAGCTTAACACTTCTTAACCTCAATTTTTACATATGTTAAAGGGGGGTAAATTTTATATAATATAACAAAAAATTAGATTGATATATTTTGATATTGTGGCGTTGTACTGCTTCAAACTTTGCTTCTCGGGTACAACGCGCCATGGCGATTCGCGCAATGCGTCGCAAATCTGGCAACGGCATGTAAACAAAATTTATTGAGGTTCGTCGTAAGCTTTTTTCTCCGTTTTTCTCTCTAAAACAAAACAAGGTAAACAGTTAAAACTAAGGGGAAACTAATTCTGAAGTTTCGAAGAAACAGAAAGACGTATGAGATGTTTTTTTCAAAATTAAAAAGAATGATGATACGAGCTGCACGCATTTATAAAATACACGTCATCTAGTTATGAAACACGATCTGCTGTCTTTTAGTTTTGCCATGGATGACATGGATGAGATTTTCCTTCGTGTTTTAGACAGTACTTAGTTGTTTTTGTTTTGGAATAACATCGACATTGGCGAGTAGTAGAACGAAAATATAATTCAGTGGTAGAGTCATGGAAGTAATAAGAGAAACCCTTTGAAAGAGATGTTTGTCTACTCCAACTAAACCTCCCGCAAAAATAGCAACATTTGCCTCTCGGAGACAGCGTACCAGCACAAAGGAACGAGGAAGAAGTGCAAGAAAACAAATCAAGCCGTCATAATTCAGTGACAGCGGCAGTGTCTAATGGACAAAACCACATCGCAAGCCCTGACCGAAGTCGAAAACAAGCGAAATTTCTAAGCAGAGTCCCAGTCCACTGCATCACATCTTTTTGCTCGGACGCGCTCGTTTCACCGCCCAACCTTTATCCGCCCTGCTTGTCACCTAATATCTTATGAAAAACATGTGGCAGTCTGTCACGTGGCCTCGACTTTCGGTATCGAAAGTGTTGTAACACTTCCGCCTTTCTGAGAAACGCTTCCGGTTTCGGTGGTCACCTGTCATGGCCGAGGCTTTCCAGGAAATGCTTCCGCTCTTGTCACCTAAATATCTTATGAAAAACATTGGACACTATTGCGAAATCTCTCCAAGACATCTTTCCGGTTTTCTAATGTCGCGCCAGACCATCATTTCTTTACGTGGCATTCCCTCACGTGACCTAGAAGTTAGATATCGAAAGTGTTGTAGCACTTCCGCCGTGCCTTATGCATACGTGGCTCTGTAAAACGTATAAATGACTTTCTGTTTCCATATCACCATTATCTGTGCGTTAATTTTTGGAAGAATCTTTAATGACGGGTATTTATAAAAGGGGTCTGCGTTGAATTTATAAAATATATACAATGCCACCTTTCTGAAGTTTAGCCTCAGAAATAATGGAAGCCAATGCGAGCTACATTGAGACCCACCTGTTTTTTGAAGCAGAGCACGGTAAAGCCTCGCGTAACCAATCCCTGCGTTGTCTTCGTTGATGGAAAGACGAGATTCGTCTGCATGAACAACAAAGATAGCATAATCCATTACAAGGTGAGGTAAAGTCCTGTCGCACACCTCAGCCATTCGTTGCAGACCAAAACAAAGACGATCAACCGAGATTTTGAAGCCATAGTTGTCGCCTGCCTCAAGCAAAAGCTTCTCAACTGTCTCTAAACTATAAGTGTTGTCGCAGTTAAAAAGGTAAAACCTTTTCTGCTGATACGACATGTCGCCGGATCGCTTCTAAGGCACAAGTTGTCTGTGACAATGATAATCTATGTTGGCATTTCCCGGAAATTGTAAGGCCGTCATTGGCAAATGCGCGCGCACACTCTAAACTTTATGTTAGCAGGTAGCAACAACGGCGACATACGCGACAGTGAAAACGTCACTATCTTGAATTTGCGTTCTTTCAAACTTAATCACGATTCCTCCGATCCATGTCGCTTGATTCACCAAAATCTGAAGGCAATTTTTTTAAAAAGCTTTACATTATGGTTCTTCGTTTTGAACAAGGTGCACAGAAAACAGTGTTTCTCTGAAGCGAAGGCTTAGCTGAGGCCCTGCCAGGGGGGGCTCCCATGTCGCTCGTCTGAATTTTAAAACGTCTCGTGTCGGTGTTTATTAATGCTTCACGTCGCTGTCGGAAATTGAACGAAAATTCTTTGTCTTTGTCGGAATTTTAGAAAAGGGGGATAGCGATGGGTTTTAAAGAAACCATTACAGTTGAGCAATTTCTCAGTTAACCTTTCGCGTATAGAACACCTATACATCGCCATTCACAATTAAGGGTGTGTTCCTTTCGGTGAATCCAGAAACGGATTTGGATCTTAAAACGGATTTCACGTTCCTTTCGGCAAATCCAAATTCGGATTTTTGATCTGGTGAATCCTTTTTGAAAAAGGATTCACATTGGATTTGAAATCCGAAGAATCCGAATCCAGATTAACGGATTAGTCATCTACGCTGTTCCATTCACAGTGGATTCGAAATTAGTCAGATGATCCAGCTGTACTTCCAGTTGAAGTATTCCCGTAGAGTTTCCTAATTGCTGCCATTTGCCGTAAAACATCTGAAAACACTAGAAGATTGTTCATGGTGGTACAGTAAAATGTCCATGTGCTGACCATTTGTCGCTAAAGATTGCTTAAAAACACAAATAAGTAAAAGGGACAAATAACTGCTATCTTTCTACAAACTCGCTCTTGGACGCGATAGGCACTCGATCGTGTTACATAGAAAACCGAGCTACGAAACTGGATCAAACTGAGCCGACAACCTTTAGAAAATTTTCAACTTTAACATGCTACTTTCTTGATCTGTTTATGTTCCATCGTCGTTATTCGAACTGCCGACCACAAAATTCTGTACGGTATAATCACATAATTTGTCAAACAGTAGAAAACATGTCATTTCTTGAGAGGCTCAGGCTGTCATGCATATTGCACGCGTTTGCGAAAGGTTACCAAGGTCACAAACCCAATTTCGGATTTCACGTTCCTTTCGACCAGGAAATCCGGCAAATCTCGGATCAGAAATCCGTTTTTGGATTCGCTTAAAGGAACACTGTCAGCACACCCTAAGTGATCCACGTTCAACATTTTAAGACTAACTGACCTGATAAATCGTACGTGAAGGCCGGTTAACGGTGGTCTACGCTGTGCGGTGCTTAAGTTACCTGGTCCCTGGTCTCTCCACCGTCGTCACCGTCCGACAGAGGTCGACAAGGATATGAGAAGTTCAGAAACAAGCAAAGTATTCACCATTTTCACATAGACCATAATTCACCTTGTTTACCCCCCAAAACTTTGCATAACCATTGTTTTCGATTTCTCTTGGGACGACTGTAATACCCTGGAGAATTTGGAAACATTGGTTATGCAAAATTCTGAGGGGGACAACAAGGTGCGTCATGGTCTATATGAAAGTAGTGATTACAAGAGATGTAAAGCGTGCGTAAATTAAGCTATTTGACGGACAACCTAGTCCCAAGGTCTCCCAGGAGTTGTGCGGGGTTGCGTAAATGAAGACTACGCGACGGGCCAACGCGACGCGCTCAGGAGGGTCTACTGAAACTCCCTGACGAGAGACAACCTCTGAAGCGCAAGGAAAATTGACGAAAATTACTTCTTCTTGGCACTCAGACTGGTGATAAATTAGCCAAACCACCGTTCTTTGTCGCATATTCTCGGCTATGCCGTCACTTTCGCAATTTGGCCGAGGGAGGTTGTCGCTTGTCGCCATTTCGTTTTAGGCTCTGTCGCTACTTTTTGGGTCATGTCGCTTGTCGGAATTTACCCTGGCAGGGCCTCTTAGCTCGGAGCATATTCTGGGGCCTAGCGTAGATTCCATTCAGATGCATAATAGCGTATCTATCTCTTACATAATTTTTAGATTGTCATTTTAGATTGACATAATTTTTAGATTGTTATGGCAACCCTTGTGTAGAACTAACCCAAGCATTTTCTTCCAGCTATGGACCACCTCCTTACTTTCTTTAATAGACTGAAAAGGAACGTATCCTTAGTTGACTACCTGAACTAAATGTTTTGGATACCATAAAAACTTTCAAATGATTGGCAGCACAAGAATAACACATAAAAATGCCAGCAAAGCAATACCTTAATTTTTTATTTTGCTTTATGTCATTATCACGAAAAGAAAAATTAACGTTACTTCCTGAGGAATGACAACAGATAAATAAATAACGGATATAAATCTCTATTGCAATTGTTTAATGCCTACTACCTACAAACTTTCGGGTGAGAGGAGCTGTCTTCACGCTTTCGAGCCCTGAACAAAAACTCTCTGCTGAACAAGTTCTAATATGTACTTAATGAATAGTTTCAAACAATTATTACGAAACTAAATCCCAGTTACACCAGCAGTCACATTTATGTCTAAACCACTGTTACGCACGCCACCCTGTGAGCGAGAGCTTCCTTTTCTCGTCTTCTTGATTGAGGAGGAGAAAAGGAGGTTCTGCCTGAATCAGGTCAAGCATATAAAGTCGCCGCAGCCTGAACTATCTTGTTTCTCTCGTCAAACAGGGTTTTGAAGAGCAAGCACGCGTTTATTGATTAATCGACTGTCATAACTGATTCCCCGATACTAGACGCTCGCTATTTGGCCTAGGGCTTTCCACAAGTTGCAGTCGAGATTTTCCAAAGGGTTTTCCATAATTTCTCAAAAAGTTGCTCAAAAGTTACTTAAAAAAACAATCAAAAGGTGCTTTTGTAACGAAAGTTTCTCAAACGTTCCTCGAAAAAAAAAACAAAAAACTTTTTTTGGTCTGATGCTAAGATATAGAAATTGTACAACAAAAGCAATATTTCTAAGCATTAATGTGCAATTTGGCTGCGTAACCAGCGTTACTAAATAGATTTATCCTCAAGTAAAACCAAAAAATGTAATGAGCCAGTTAAATTGTTGAATGACCTTCTTCACCCGAGAGACACTCAAGTCAGTCGAGTGTGAATCTTCGTCCACCATATTTTGAATTTTCCATAAAAACCGCTTACCTAGCAGCCCGGCTACTTTTATCGTGCGCCCATGATCTGCCCAGGGAGGGGGGTAAGGATTTTACAGGTCATTTTTAAATTGTCTACTAGAACATTGTAAAATATGAAAAAAGGGCAATTAAGGCAATAAAAGCTGCTCCGGCATTTCAGAATTAGACTGATAACTAGAGAAATTGCTCAGAATGCAACAAGTTGGCGAAATACAAGAAGTTGCCAAAAAGTTGCCGAGCAACTTGTGGAAAGCCCTAATTTGGCCTAGGTTGGAAACTGTATCCTAGCAACATGCGGCGCATTCTCAACAAAGACCTTAATCGATTTATGAGTCTTTCCCGAGGAAGGCAAATTCGAGGAAGCGAAAGAAAAGGCTCTGGTGGCAGTGTTCTGTTACGCCAGTTACGCCAATTGTACCCAAAAACAAAAAATGTGCGCTTACTCCCTGGCAAAATATTTATAGAATTTTAACTGTTCAGACCATTTTCACTGTCGCAATACGGGTGCAACAGTGGCGAGGCTAGGAGGGCTCAAAAAAGGGTTAAAATTATCACTAAAATACATGTACTACATCACGAAGAGATGCACCACCCAAAAGAAGACCTTAGCCTGCTCATGGTGCGAAAATTTGAAAGTCTCTTCCCAAGGTCACTGCAAGGTCAACACATAATCAAGAGAACAGGTTATGAGAATTGTCAACTGACCGCCAAAAAGATGCTTTGATCTTTTTAAATTTTCTTTGCTATATTACGGAAATATATGGAGATAAGTCTGAAGAATTTGTAAACATTAATAAGCACCTGTCCCCGCTTATTTTTTCGCCCCTTACTACGCCTAAGAAGCTCGCTTAAAGACGATAAAAGTAGCTTGATTCAGGGGTACCCAACGAGAATATAGTTCAAAACCACTTAAACATAGCATTGTTGAACGCATTTTAATATTTAAACGGTAGATATTGGCATATTTTGTACCCCAAAATTTTTCATCTTTTCGGATATCATAGCTGAAAGTCTAGTGATCAGAAAATTATAGGCATCAAAACTTACGAAAATTCTAGGTGATCTTTTTAGACTAAAAATCTGTTAAAAATGGGCAAATGTACCATTTTTTATATGTTCAAAAATCCTAGGAGAGGCAGGCAAGCAAGAAATTTTACAACAAATGTTCCGAAAATTCTAGATCTCAAATCGCCTTCCGAACAGATATTTTCCTAAAATTGACGTTGGGTGCCGGTGCCCCTGTTGATTGATTTACTGGGTCGAACCTACTCCCTTGATATGAACTCAGGAGGGCTATTTGTTTTGCAAACGATTTCTTCTGCCCTTTTCCCATAGGATCGTCGGGATCGAGCACCTACCCTAAGGGCGGCCATTTTCGTTTCATATGTACTGAGTCTAGCCTGGGAGTGAGTATAGAATTTAAACCAAGATCGCCGCCGTAACGGAAAGCGCTTGATCCCAAAAATCAATGTATAACACTGTACTTTCAACAACGTATGAATAAGAACAGTAATTCGACAGCCAGAAAAAGTAAACAACTATAACATTCAAAAGATTAATTCGTGGGTGTACTGAGCGAACACTAGAGACTTGGTCGTAAAGTCAACCTGACCAGCTCTTGTAATTAGGCTCCTCCGTGTTTTCCACAGCGGATTTTTCAGCTCTGCCTTGAGGCTTGGATATGGATCTCTTGGGACTTTCTCTCTGAACCTGCCGCATCTTGATTGACCTCTCGCCACACTTTAAGGCTTGCTCTAACATCTTCAGAACTTCCTTCTTGTACGCTGGGTCAAACTCTTGATCAGGTATTGAGTTCGCGATCAAGAAGACATCCCTCGTTTCGCTTCCAGTGACCTCTCTCGCTGCTTCCTTTAATCTTCTTCTTTTTTCGTCAGGATTCGGCAATTCTCGTATTTCATCGTCAAAAGTGATGACCGTGATAATCGTAATGACTATAACATAACAGCAAGAAATAAAATTAAAAAAAATAAATCAGGCTTGACACTGTAACATGTAGCCTACCATTCTACTAGCGCCCTTTAATTCCACTTTCCCTTCACTTTCAAACTTTTGACACTCAAACTATGAGACATGTATCATGGGGAGAAAGTACGAGAACCCGATCGAAAATTTGGTGTCATCGACTAAGGTTTAAGCCGTTTTTTTCCAGTATAAGCCCCAGTTAGTTCTCTTCGTTCGTTTTCTGGAAAGAAAATCTTTTTTCCTCTTCAGTTTGCCTTATTGGAGAGGCTGTATTTCCTCGAGCGGATGTCCCTCGGCTCGTGTGACTTTGCCACAGTAGTACCGTATTTATTTGATCACGTGCCGCGGCGTTTATTAAATTTTAAGCGTTTCTTATGGGGCGTTTATTCACATTGATTTCTTGACTGTCATAATTTCCGACAAATCATTTGCAAATATCATAAAAACAGAAAGATGTTAAATTTCCGTGTCTCGTTTTTTTTTTCTAAAATAGAATTTTAAGGTGTTAAAATAGTTTAGATTCTATCTTCTGGATCGAAAGCAGTTTTTAGTGGTCGGTTGAGTCAAATCAGCTGTCAAAGATCTACGCTTTGGAGTTTCACAAAGGTCTGTCCTTAGCCCGATGCTTTATCTGTTGTACACTAACCTCTTGGGGACATCATTAAACGGCATAATCTTGATTTCAACTCTTATCCTGACGATGCTCAGCCCTATTTGGCCTTTAAGGCTAATGCAGCCAAACAACCTGGCTCAATAGACTTAATAGCATGTAAGAGTGTGTTAGTGAGATAGATTTATAGATGGTGTAGAAAACTTGTAGAAGTTGAATAAGCACAAGACTGAACTGCTGATTTTGAGTGGTCATCATCGCCCACTTCTATCAATAGAGCATATTGAAATATCCTGCGAATGGATCCAACTATCTTCTTCGGCCGAGAATATTGGTGTTATATTTGAACAGCATTTGTCCCTTGACCAGCATGTTACTAGCATCTGCAAATCAACGATCTATTTGCAGTTGCTCAGCATAGCATGGATAAGGGACTGTTTATCAACAACTGGCACTGAAATCTTACTTCACGCCTTTATCACTTCCAGATTAGACAGCTGTAATTCATTACCATACGGTCTGCCTAAATTTTTAATCGATCGTTTACAGAATGTACAGAACTCGCCGCAGAACGACCTATTACACGGAGCAGAAAGTACGACCACATTTCACCTACCAAAATTTTCTTAAGCGTCGCCAAATTTCAAAGAAGCCGTCGAGAAGTTTTGGAGGCCTACAATTTTTTGTCAGGCAACAAAATCCTTTGTTCCATGACAGCTATCCTTCGTCAGGTCATCTTATTTCGCTAACGATTCCAATCATGTGATTTAATCGAAATTGACGTAACTTCTTTCGCGTGTCTCAGGTGCAAACAAAGTTACCAAATTTTCCAATTTTTTGCAATTTTTGTGTCGTAGTGCGAACAGGGCCTAATTTGAGGGTCCCCAATAGGTTTTTTGGGATACGGGATTTCCCTTATTTGAAGATCGGGATTCGAGATTGAAAGTATGCGCAGGAGGTGGGATGCTTAAAATAACCATCGGGATTACCGGATTGCTCGAAATTTTGGGTCGGGATTAGGGTATTGAAAAACCCTTTTGGGGATCCTCTTATTTGCGTCCCTTTAAAGGACATGAGCACTATGAGAAAGGTAAAGAACTCACTTTGTTCTCTCGCCTTGTGCTGAACAAACTTGATTATGTCACTGTATATTCCTTTTTCAAATCTGATATCATTAGCTTTTATGACCCACAATATGACATGCATTTGATCCGCAAGAGGAGGTTTTTTAAGCTTGTGAGCACCGACCCCGCCAGTTGCTGCTTTTTTGGCACCCTTGTCGCCTCGCACCAGTTCCTCTCCAGTTCGCTCAATTCCAAAAAGAATACGAAACAGCTCCCCTATTTGAATAAAAAAGAATTGCATTGTGACTTGCCCACCAAAATGAAACCAGTCCATCCGAGGCAAGAAAACTGGTTAGTTCCGATTGGTCGGGTACAAGACCAGAGAGCGGTAGACCCAGCTCGATTCCTGGGTTTACCAACAATCAGGGTCTTACAACATTGAGGAAAAGGTACTACCTTTGTTTCAAATATGGTAGACCTTCCATCCTGTTCGGAGAAGGTTGGAAAACCGACAGACCCTTCTTTGAAAGGTAAAAAGAGCTATTGGGGGAAGGGGTTCAAGGACAAGGCTTCTGGCAGTGACCACCCATTGTGTGCTGTCCATTGCCTTGGGTGGATATATTCTGTAGACTGAGAGAGATCTTAAGGTTGCTGAACACAGTTTTGGCAGTTTGTGAGTATATGTCATTTGGCAAATTATGGCAAGAAAAGCGTTGCAGCTCACAAGCTGAAACTTGGCAAGTGAAAAATATACTGATGAAAGATTTTGATTGACAGGTAAAATTTGTCATTTTGGTAGTTTCCATGGCGACATGAACGATTGAATACAACCTTAAAATTTCACTTTTGCTCAGTTTACATAAAATTCTTTCATTAGGTTTTCCTATAAACTTGTACTCCGCTTACTATAATTAATCATTACCATTTGAAACTTATTTGACCAAATTTTAACAGACGGATTTTTAGATAACTAATAATATATTTGTATTGTAATTATCAAATGTGTCACAAAAATCGTCTGTTCAACTTCCATTTTAAAGTTCTCATTATTAAAAATACGTTAAAAGTAAAAATTATGCCAAATATCACAAAATTTTAACGAGTAGATTTTGAGATATTGTCTTCTCTGTACCATTGCTTTTTTCGCCGCCATGTTTGTTTGTCTAACTTAAAACACGTGCCGTCACGCGAGTTACCGCTGACCGCCCGCAAAACTGTGTTCAGCCATTTTCATTAACAGTCCATAAACAGAGTATGCATGGCAGAACTATTGAAGAGGTTATTGGGGGTACTTACCATTTACATGGGAAAACTGGAAATTCCGGAAGGAAAATCAAATGTTTCGCGACTTTCCGTTTGGGAAGCTTCCGAAAACAGGCAATGCAATTTTTCCCGCACTTTTTTTAAGCCTGTTCAGCTGATTTGGATATACTGTATTTAATTTTTATAGCGCGTCGTTCTCCCGTTTTTTTGTTTATGCACAAGATTTCCACCGGTGTGCGACAAACGCAGACTGCAGACTTGCAGACTGGCAGGTAAACGAGGTAAACATTGTTGTGAAATACTCTAACAGATTCCCTATCCCTAAACTAGACTTTGTCGAAGACCTTAAAGTTTAGGGATCAGGGAATCTGTTAAAACATTTCACGTTTGCTTCCGGGAGACAACAACCACGCTCGCATTCTACTATAACACTGACCTCACCCCCTTCTCCTCAGTTAATTTTTTCATCCTCGAAAACGATGAAAACGCTGATCTCTATCAAATTATTAGCAAACTTTTAATTATCGGGCATTTTTATCGTGGTACGTTTTGAACAGAATCGAAGGAAACCTTAAACACTATAGCACGGCGAAATTTCGGCTTATCAATTCTTTGACTGCTTAAAGGCACAAAATTATGGCTACATCTCGCTTCCGGGGACTCTATACGCTGGACTAACAAACACGTACTGTATTGTGCGAAATAAAATTGTGTTGGAACTGAAACGTTTCTACCTTCCTCCGTTTTGCCAAAATCGGAAAAGCCTCTTGTGTCATAGACTGTGACATTGTTCGGCAGCAGATCACAAGACTCCAAAATCTTCGTTCCTTCCCTTCCAGTCGTTTGAGTTACGGCAGGACGTATGTCCATCTCCAAGCATTCGAAGATCGTGTTAATCAGGGCCGATTTTCCAGAACCAGTCATTCCAAAAAGTACGATATTCAAGCGGAAGCCTTCCATTTCCCCGCCGCAGGCATCATCGAATTTCTGGTACCTTCCGACTTTGTAATTCAACAGTCTTTCAACGAGCTGCTCCAATTCTTCGTCTTTCACCGTAGGAACAGTCTTTGCCATGACTGTTTTGTTATAAATTAGATTATTTTTTCTTCAAAGGCATTCTTTAGCTGCTAAAACGATGGATAGTGTGCTAGGGCGACGCTTTTCTCGTTGGCGACGCTTTTAACAAGAAAAGCGTCGCGAATCATTTATTTGAATCCAGTTGACGTCACGAAAGGTTTTTCCGAGAAATACTATTCCTACATTTTAAAATGTTCGGGCAGATGGTTCTCCAAAATGCTCTCAAAAGTGCTCGAATGACAGATAATTAGCTCGTTTAAACTTTGTTTTCACCTTTTACGAGAAATTTTTTGCAACACCTATTTCTTTGGAGAAAAGGAAGTTTTGAACGATTTTCGTGACTTGCGTGACTTGTTCACAAACTGCCTCACGCATATGTTAACTGTCCCGAGTTCCGTCGAAACCACGACATCCACTTTTTCGGGGAAAACACCAAAGATGACTTGATAGATTTCCTGAGAACAACAAAATGAAGAAGCCACAGGCTAATTCAAATGCTGGCCATGAAATGGAAACTCTACCGTTAAAAAGTGATCATTGAAATTCGCTGAATCTTTTTACTTCCTAATTTTTCTGTACAGAATGTTTTGAAACTCACCAGTTGCCAGAAGTAAAGCTCTCTAGATGTTTTCTATCGTCACCCGGACGATCAAACTCAACCTACTTTTGATATGACTCCTGGGTTCAAACCTTTCACTATTTTAATTAAGGTTGCTTCTGAGAAGAATGATGCATGATCCATGTTCCATAGCCCGTGGTGCATTATTGTAGCAAAGTAAATTAAATTATGTGCCTGCAACGAGCCAAGAAACCTAATAAGCAAACGCTGCTAACGCTTCTATGCTATGTCAGCAGAACGTTAAGACAATGTATTTCAAAACACTGAATCCTAGGCTTTTTAATTTAAGACAGTGATTTGAGGTTAGGTTTTTCTCTGTGGTAATATGCAAATGCCGCAAAGTTTCAACACGTTTGCTTGGCTCGTGCACGTGGGAATTTTGGATGCAGTTAAAGAAAAAATCAAATTCAAGGCGTTTGTTGAACAACAATAAATAACTTAACATTACGTGTTTACCTATTTTCGAGGCAATTTTTTTTAAAACTGAATTAAAAAAAGAATAGCGTTGATTTGCTTTATTGAAATAACCAGCATGCAAAAGCGTGACCCATGCAAAAACGCAGCTTAATCAGGCGGTAAAACTCTATTCATTTAATGTTATTAAAAGAAGAGGCTTCTTATTTTAAGTATGAGATTTTTAAAATGAAATTTTTCGGCTCGTTCATGCTTTAGAATTTTAGCAGCCATTTGACTTCAAAACTCTCTTGAACGCCAATTCACAAATGGTGATCTCCATTATTTCAATGAACGTGAACAGGACTAAAGTTGCCCCTACACAAGGGTTTACCATAGTGCACTGCAGGCTATGAAACATGGTTCACGGAAGCAACCTTAATTGAAATAGTTGTGTACGGTCACCTGGAATATCAATGGACTTTGTGCCCTGCGTTACGGTAGGGTAGGGTAGGGTAGCCACTTTGGATGGAGAAGCAAACTTCTTGCCTGGAAGGGTGTCCGCATTTGGTCGTGCTATTCGATTCAATAACAGGTTTATGTTTTCATAAAAGAGAACATTTTGTCAGTCTTTACAACCTGTGTGTTTATATTCATTTTCCTACACTCCCCATAAACAATTGACAGAATTGGCTTCATCGCCTGATGGAAACTAGCAGCAAAGCAGTCGAATCATCGTGAGACAGACAGATAACATCAATCTACCTAACTCCCAAAATACAGGACTTCAATTGTCGAAGTAAAAATGTACCGATGCGCGGACGAAAAAATAAGCAAAACAGAAAATAAAGTTACGGTCACTTATCGTGATGTTGAGAAGCTTGACCATCAAAACTGACAATTGTTAGAAGGTAAGTCTTATATAACGTCTATTTCAATAATCAAGCAAAAAATCTCGTAAAGAAATGGGGCGGGATCTGGATTCAGGCGTAAAATAGAACGGGATGGCGGGATTCAGACAAAAAAAAGGCGGGAAAGCGGGATTTGAGACCCCTATTGTGGACCCTCTTAAAGTTAACGGCCACTACATTTTTCTGAGCACCGACCTAACCAGCCGCAAAAAGGCCCCCAAAACACGACACTATACATCTCCAAATCAAGAAATATATGTAAAAGCCCCTGTGGTCGAGATGTTTTGGCTTGTACTAGGAATAAGTAACTAACCCATCGACAGTTTGGTAAAACGTCACTATACATGCAGACAGAATCAGACTTCAGGTCCTCCATCACATCTGACTTCTGTTCCTCTGAAGGTCGCCATCCTGGCTTTCTCTTCAGGACATCCCCATATTCATAAGAAATCTTTTCATAACGCACTTTTGCCTTCAGTAGAACAGTGTCTCCTTGGTAAGTGGCCGCTGTTGCACCAGAACGAAAAGCTGCAATGTCAAAGGTTCACTGGCGTTACAATTTGTTTTCAGTTGGTCGTAACCACGTTTCACTTTTAGACGAACTATTTGAATATGGTGGTCACGGTATGCTACCCTGAGGTTACGCGGCGGTATTGCCAGTACCTTTGAGCACAAACATATCAACCGAGCAGTGGCAGTCATTGACAACTACTTCGCCCTTGTTAGGATCGAGTCATAAGCATTGCATAGCCGTCCGACCCCTGTACCTCTGTAACGTGCGGTTATAAAGTGTATACATCGCATTCAGTGCATCAGTTTTCATTTTCATTCACCGAGTAATTTTTCACCGAAAAAATGTAAAGCAAGTCATGGAGAGGAAGTAAATAAAGCGGGTACAAAAGCCCATAATCGGGAACGAGGGAGAGGAGCAAGCTTGGCGAAGTGGTGAGGACTGGCCTCCCACTAATGAGACTTGGGTTCATTTACCGGTGTCGACAACATATGTGCATGCATGGGTTGAGGTTGCTGTTGGTTCTATCCCTTGCTCCTCTCGGAGCAAGGGAGGAGAAGGGTACTCCCGTTTTCCCCACTCTTCAAAGAGCAACATTTTCAAATTCTAATTCGACCAGGAATGGCAGACAAAGCCGAACCCCCATGTGGATGTGCTACCTTATTTTTTGTTGTTTAGGAGGAACTTTCATGTACCAACGCCATTACGTTTTCACAGACTTAACGCTGGTGCCAGTGACAATGACGTTGGATTCTAAAAATGGATACAGCGCTACTCCCTGGTTGGATACAGATATGTTTGAAACAGAAACTGTATTTTTTACCTCCATAAGTGCCTTCTATCAAGCCCCTTTTTGTCTTATTCCGATCGCTGAAGGATCTTCTGCGGGCACCAGGTCCACCGGGATAAGGAATGCCTTGTCACTTCCTACCAAAGACGACTATACGAGTAGTCATTAGGTATGGTCATTAGGTCATTAGGTTTTCATTAGGTATAGTTTTATGAATAATATAACTCAAGACTCTTTTCAAACACCTTTCGTCGACTGATCCTTCCGGTAAGATACTCTGAAAAAGGATCAGTTGTGTCACCCATACACGAAATAAAAACCATTGTTCATAGTTAAACATGATTTCACGTCCGCCTTATTAGTGTTCTAAAACAATAAAACGGCGGCCATTTATACCTGCTGGCCATGTGAGTGAAAAGGCTCTATACAACTGAAAAATTTTTCCTCAACATTGCGAGTTTTCATTGGTTACTTCAAGGTAAAATGACACCTAAAAACAGAACTGTTTCCACCAATGAGAGGAGTCAAGAAACGTTACTTATGATCTCTGATAAGTTTAATGTTATGACAACCTTTACTATTTCATTCAAAATAGCTACCGTTGACCTAATTTGGAAGAGGTTTGCAGATAACCACAAAAATGCGGTGAGGTAGTCACATTGCATCTATGTTGTCAGTTGATTTTGGGTATTTAATGCTGCCTCGTTCCTAGGCGTCTCCACTGTGGAAAACGGAAAACGCGACTGAACTAGCCATCAAGGAGTATCGCGTATGGAACCATGGTAACGTTTAGCGTGGACGCAAAGGACGCTGGGAAGGATGAAGGAGAAAAATAAGACGCCTCGCGGATTTGGCTCGATTTCTGGATTTGGGCTGTGACCGCTCCCCTTGCGCTATTTTGAGGAGAAATAACGTCGAGGTCTATGTTATAAGAATTTTACTACAGTTTTTTCGTTGTTTTCGAGCACCCTCGCTTTTTGAGCACCTTCGACCTCGACTCGTGTAAATATGGCGAGCATAGAGGAATCCTTACATGAACTTTCTTTACAGGGTAAGTGCTTCTTATTACATGGAAAGATGTACTTCATACATGATGTACCTCATGCGAAATATGATCAGAGATAAATGGAATAGTGAATGTTACAAGCTTCTGAGTATCCAGCTGAGATAGGGGACTTTTAGTCTCCTATCTCAACAAGATAAACAAAATTTTTTTGGTTGCTAAGACGGTGCGGCTCGTTATGTGGTTAGTAATGTGATAGAAGCTTCGTTAGTTGACTCAGTCAAACCATTAGTTTTCAGTTTTCATTTCTTTGTTGTTTTGTCATAAGTCAAGTGTGGTTTTTCATCAGTTCCATCTCTCATGAACGTTTTAATGTACATGTTCCTGTTCAGCCCTAGCTGCATAACAACACAAAGAGTAAAGCTCTTTTTACCGAATAATCTTAAACTTATTGGTTTATATTGAGTCCTCAATCCTCCTTCCTCAATATTGGCAATAAACATATTCGCAAAATATATGCTAGGAAGTAAACCTATAAATACGACACCTCATGGTCTTGTTTGTATTTCATAGATACCAGCATCGCTTAAATCATAAAATTCCTCAAATATTTCCCTGTACACATTATTTGTTGTATGAGGGCTCAATTTTGTCTCCAAATCTTTGACCATTTTCACAGTCACCGCCGAATTATTCTTAGTTTTATCCAGAACTATATTTAATATCTTCTTTCTGTTCATATCCAGATCAACATTGTAAACAACTTCAGTCGGCTTAATATCAAAAGCTGTATGGTAATCAAAAGTTTTGTTTGGATCTAAATCCATTGTTTCGCCAAGAATACCGTAAGCTATTAGGTAATATTTATTGAAATTAGTTGGATATGTGTTCAAGTCAATTCCCGACTGAGCCATAACATCCTGGATATGTAAGAAATAAGGGGTGGAGTCAGCTGTCTTACTGAATGTCACCAGGAGTTTATGATAGTACATATGTTTAACTTGATTGGAAGATGTTCTATACTCATGTGAGTACTTATTGACATGCCAATTTTTTACAGTCACTCCCTGGCTGGTAGTTGTATCAACAGTAATTACAGATTTGTGCCATAATTTATAGTCAGTAGTAAGGATTTCCAAACAAAGGGTATATTCTTTGTCCTTTTGAAGGCGATAGCATTAGATAGCTAATCGCCATTTATAAGCACCCTCTGAATTCTTCTTAATGGATGCGAAAATCACCTTTTTATTGTATGTGTGGTAGTTGCCTGATGTTGCATTCAAATCACCAATGCTGATTAGGGCAATACTGTCAGTTAGTAAATCAGTCCATTGTAAAAGACCATTTGTAGGGGCCATGAGATATGCAAATCTGTTAGTATGATCAGATGGCTTTATAAAATGTTTATTCAATGTTCTCAGATTAATAGCATCAGTAGCATCAGTCGGGTCTCCAAGATTAATAATCTTGTTTTTGACCATATTAAATTGGTGGTAAACATACGGATTAGTAATTTGTACAAAAAATGCATTACCAGTGCTTCGGCTTATTGCTTGATATTGTGAAGTAAGAACAACATTGTTTAATATTATATGACCAGTCATAGTGCCACCGGACAGTTTCAAATAATTATCATCTATGTATTTCTTATTAACGCCATCTTTATCATCAGTTGGTTTGGCAACATTAGTGATTTTATTATTGGACATCTTTAGTGGTCCCGCCATTACTCCACTGGACTTATCCAGGAATTTATTTTCTGACCATATCTTTGTAGCTGGTTGATTATCACCATTTGGTTGTGCTACATTGTATATCCTTTTGCTGTTCATATCCAAATTGCCGGTCATTATTCCACCAGAAGGTGATAGTTTAGTATCCAGTTGACTTTTTCTTACAGCGTCAGTAAAACTAGTTCCTTGAGCCATACCTTTTATTTGTTTACCTAACATATTATAATCCCCCCTTGATGTGAGACTAAAACCAGTGCCTGATGCACCAGTAGCACCTTTAGGGCCAGTAGGACCAGTAGCACCTTGATCACCTTTGGGTCCTTGAATACCCTGTTCACCTTTTGGACCTTGGTTACCCTGAGCACCAGCGGGGCCAGGTGGGCCAGGAGGTCCTTGAGGGCCAGTAATGCCGCGTTTTCCTTTTGAGTATGATTGATTATAATTAGGTTGCTGATGAAATATTCCCATTTTATAATAATACATTATATATTTCCATAAAAGTTTCTTTTGACAGTCTTCATTGGTTTGTCAACATACAGAAATGAGTAGGGTTGTTTAGTGGCCTTAATATACTGATCCTTTGTTACATTCAACTCTCTAGAAATCATATTTCGCTCATTACTGCTAGGGAAATCATAAACAACATAATGGCTGCAGTTTAGTCTGATATCTTTTGGAGTTTTATAAAATAATTGTGACAGGTAAATAACACTGCAGTTCTTATGACGGCCTTGAATGAAATAATCGATAAGCGGCTTTTGGTTTTTATCACAAATGAAGTCGTCAAATATTACAATTTTCTGGGCATCCCTTTCCAGACTATTGACAGGTTTAATGTCATCATTATCGCAGTGTATTATGTCATATCCAACCTGGCTACTAATGTCATTCATTGTTTCTATCATGTGTCGATATTTTTCCTGTTCCAGATTTTTGCCATATAAATGGATCTGGTCATAGTAGACTAATGGTTTCATAAGGATGTGGTAAAGTAAGTTTGTTTTGCCTGACCCTGAATTGCCACAAGTAGCATCCTAAAATTGGATTTGGGCATATACTTATACAGCTGTTTGAAGTTTGTATTTTCATCTTCATTGAAATCATAATTTGGAATCTCCATATAATATTATGTTAGATAAATTGAGATAAGTTGAGATAAGTTTTAAATAACACAATAGTATAACGGATATAGAAAGATTCAAGAGACTCAGTATTCCTAAAATTGAAGCAGGAAAAATGACTGACGTTGTTAGGGATGTTATAAAAGAAGTTGAAACTAGAGATCAAGATTTATATGAAAAGGTGGCTAAAGATCTAAAACCTCTAACAGAAAAGCTTGATAAGGAAATTGAGGAAATCAGTAAATTGAGTGAAGATGTTAATAAACAAGTTATCCCCTATGGTGAACAAGTTCAAAGATTAGCATTACCAGGCCCAAGTGATGAGGTGGCCCCTAAGATGGTAGCTGATCTGAATGAGGGATTTACCCAAGAAGAATTGGCATTTATACAAACCCAACAATTGCCATTACCGGCTGACATCTTTTTGCAAACCCTAAAACAATCAACTTATGCGAAACAAATTCTGGATAAATCTGGTGAAATGAATAAGGAGTTAGGCAGGAAAAAAGCCCATTTGAGCACAACAAAAGCTAACAGAAAGAAGAATAAGGACCAGATTGCCGAATATGATGAAGGAATTGAGATTATTAGAAAATACCGACAAAGAATTGGCATTCTAGAGGAAGGCACAAAAACTCTAAAGGTTGGGAAGGGTATTTATACACAAAAAAAGAGGAATGCCTATAAGATTAACCCCAATACAGGTGTTTATAGAAATGTAACCATTGATGTTCCCAGACTTTATGGACAGCTTAAACTAATTGCTCATAAGGATGGTAAAAAAGTATATGATAAGCAAGTGGACTTTGATACCCTTGATCTGCTTACAAAGCGGTTCAATAGTAAAAAGAAGTATTCACCATTATCAAAAATGGTATTTGATGACCTGAATAGAATAAGTGATATTCCAATTCACAGAACAAGTAATAAGTACAAAAAAATCGGTTCAGGAGTTGTTTATTATAATAACCCAGCTGACTTACTGGACAGATTGAAATTGTTAGGTGGCTCAATACTTGCTGGAAATAATGGTGTGAAAAATGAATTTTCCAAAATTGCTCACACACTAAACAAATTAGGTGTTCTAAATAACAACCAGCTTAATAGTCTGATAAAACAGTATATAATGTAATCTAATAATATAAATGCAAGAAAGAGCACTCCATATATCATCTGTTAATAGACAGAAAATCGGACAGAATAAAGCAGAAGATTTCATAATCAAATTTGATCCAGTGTTAAAACTCCAAAGTAACATGACACATGAAATAGCCTTGGATAAGGCCACAATGACTTACAGTTGGCACAATATTTCAGATCAGTATCAAAATAACCAAATAAAATACTCAACTGATGGCGGAAATTCATGGGAAACCGTCAAATTTGTGGATGGGATGTACACTTATTCAGACCTAAATGACTATCTCCATCAGTACATGAAAAAGAAAGGTCATCTTACCACCGACGATAAAACTGGCGATAAATACCACATTAACCTAACATTTGTATTATCGACATACAAGATTCTCATTCAGATCGACAACAATTACCAACTGGATCTGAGAAATAGTAAATTTGGCGAGTTAATTGGATTTACAGAGAAAATTGTAAAGAAAACAGATTATGGGACAATTCTTCCCAATATCACAAATTCCAATGATATGATCTATATCAATACAGACGCCATTACGAACAGCATATTGAATGGTGTTAATACTAATACGTTAGCCGTCATTCCAACTGACAACTTGACAAGAAGTTTTCCATTCACATTTGAACCCAGAAGACTATTGTTTAATGAAGTTTCCCAACTTAATATTTCACAAATGAGGTTTTATATCACAGACTCACTGGGGCGACCAATTGGACTAAATAACATTGACTGGTTTATGACATTGATATTGCGATCCAAACCAGCATAATATGTAACCTAATAATATGCAATGAGACAATCAGAATTTAAGAGACTTTATGATGTTAAAACGGGGAGATATGTTAAGAAGCATATTTATGGAGAAGGTGTTACCGATATTTTCAAAACGATTGGTAGAAAACTATTTGGAAAGACGATGAAAGAGGCCGCTAAAACAGCAACCAACAAGGCTGTTCAGAAAGCTGCTACTAAGACTGCCGAATATGCTGGCGAAAAAGCCCGTGATAAAACTATTCAGTTATTGAGCAAAAAGAATAAAAAGACACCGGTAGCAGCATCACCAGTGGCAGCGACAACACCAACAAAAAATCCACAAAAGGAACTCACCGATTACGAGATTAATGAGAGGGTGAATCAATTATTATCCGGGGGTCAGATGAGAAGATTTATGTAATCTATTATTATATGAAATCATTTAGAGATCCAAAATATGTTGAACGATATGAAGATGTTATTTTTGACCTAGAAACAGCACTAAATACAACTGTGGCCAATAATGGTCACCAAAAGAAAGATGGCTATAGGTTTGTTGTTGATAACAGTGGTGAGGTTACACCATTTGACTGGTATAATGCTCGAATCAGTCTTGATTTTAAAGTAGTCTTGCTGGCTAATGGAGGTAACATTGCACTAGCAGATCATAATGTAATTGTGAACGGGTCGTACTCATTCTTGAAAGTGTGTGACTGTAATGACGCGAATCACGCGGTAAATATTAAGAACTTACTTGAGTACAGTCCATCTTACGCTGAACAAACCGCCAGCGATGAGTTTCTCTATCTTGATACAACAAGACACCCAGAGGAAACAAGATTCACTAAAAGACGAGTAACTCATAGAAGAAATGCTGCCAATAACGCCGATGATGCAGGATTAATGTTGGATGATGTAGTAGCTAATTATAATAAAGGTTTTGCCCCTCGGAAAGCACTCCTAGGTGTCTCATCCACAGTAAACACTGAAATACCACTGAATAGATACTCATTCTTCGAAATGTTAGAAGATGAGCTGTTACCTAATACAAGAGTTGAGATGAATTTTGAGATTGAGTCAGATGGTAATCTAATTTGGCAAGCTGGGGCTAATTGCAGAGTGGTTATCACTAGGATGCAGTTGTATGTTCCGCGAATAACCTTTAACAGTGAAGGCCAATCATCCTACATGAGTCATAAGTGGACTTATTTGAGAGAGAATATAGAAAGATCAAATAGCAGCCAGCAGAGAGCTGGGCATTTCAGAATTTCTTCTGGTATTTCGAAACCCCGACACGTGTTTGTATTCAGAATAAATGATGCAAATATTGATGCCCAGACAGCTAATCCATTCTTGTACAATACATTCTCTGTATCAACTGACCCAAGAACCTTATGCAATTGTCACCTGGAAGTTGGAAATGGTAACGAATACCCCGAAATACATTACACACCAACTACTGATATGACCAGAGTCTTCAGGGATGTGTTGAAGTATGTCCACAAAAATAATGAATACGGTGAAGGGTCATTACTCAATAAATCTAGTTTCAGTACGCTATTCCCCTTCCTATATTTCGACTTAACAAAACAGAAAATGGACATTAAGGACGGCACTACAAAACTGACATTCAAATATGAGCTATCTGGAACAACGGCAACAGCCTACTCAATTTACGCATTAACATTATATGAGCAGGATGTTGAGCTAATACAGAAGGATGGCAAAATAATACTCAGATCGTAAATTTATGTAACGTATATTATATATAAGTAATGACGAAATATTATCCTTATGGTGTGTCACTTAATAAAGGACAAATGGAAAAGCTTTCGAGAGCTTACAATAATAATTCTGCAATAACTATCAGATTACCAGAAATGAGTTATCCGGACCACATGAGTTAATGCTCACAAAATCTCAGATCAATAAATTGAAAAAGGCAATGAACCAAGGTACAGGATCGGATATCAAAATATCGAAAACACAAATCAGAAAGGCTGTTAGACAGGGTGGTAATTTGTGGGGATCATTAGCCAGGTTACTACCTATGGCAATGCCATTAGCCAAAATGGCTGCCGCTCCACTTGTAACAGGAGCGTTATCGGGATTGGCCAGTCTCGGTGTGGATAAAACATTCGGGAATGGTCAACAAGGAAGTTTTCTTATTCCAATGGATAAAATAGCGCATTTGGTTGCATATAAACATTTATTGAACACAGGTCAGAAAAAAGATATTCTTAATGCTCTCCAAACTGGCAACGGATTAGTTATCAGACCGACGAAAGCACAGCAGGGTGGTTTTTAGGAACTCTATTAGCGAGTATAGGAGTCCCACTATAAGTTACTAAACGCATTGACGGGAAAAGGACTGCAGACCGATAGAACCGGTTCCGCTAATACAACATCTGTTTATGTTCCCGATACAACTGATGGCCACGGAATGTATAATCCGTATCCCTACATGTCACCACCTTTTTTTGGAACATGGGAAAACCCGGTTAGTGCGGGAGTAAAAAAAAATGAAACGGAAAGGGACTGCTGCTCGGCAAAAACAACCCATTCAATTCAATCCCAATTCTAGGAACAATACTGTAAGATTCATAAACAAACCATTATCGAACATTGATTTGTTACAATGGGTTAAACAATTAGGAATAAAATATTTTAGGGGTATCTACAGCCGTAATAATTTACCACAAAAAATACACAAATTGGAAACAGGAATAATTAATCTTGATGATTCAATGGGCGGGGGCAGTCATTGGGTCTGTTATAGAAATGTGGATAAGCAATATTGCGAGTAGTTTGATCCATTCGGATTAATCGTGTCCAATGAAATAAAAAATTATCTGAAAACAAGCGGTAAATAATGGTGTACTCATCAGATGAAATACAAGAAAGAGACAGTGTTTTGTGTGGTTATTGGTGCTTATATTACCTCCTGGAGAGACAGAAAGGGAAATCATTATTAGACGTTATACACAACCCCAAATTCAGTTTTACAAATCAGGTCATAAATCACCAATTTATGATAAACTATTTGTGTAACACTATTATATATGACTGAAAAGTTTTGTATTTATTGCCAAGAAGTTACTCCACATTATATGAATCAATATGGATGTTTCGAGTGCTGCAACTGTGAGCCTTTGAGTGAGAGCGATTATGAGTCAGATAGCAGCCATGATACTTATGTTCCAGAGGGTAGTGATAGTGAATAAACCTCTCTAGGCAGCAGCGTGAAACACGCAGTTGGTCCATCTTTATTACCCCAAAAGCTACCCCGCCGTTTTGGCGGGTCAGGTCCCAGACCATTTTTATATAACATAAATATATAATAATGGTGAAATCTTATTGTGTTAAACAGAAAAAGCAAACAGAATTTGTAGAACCTTCGGGTTATAAAACTGCCAAAAATGGTAGACTTATGTTTTGGTGCACTTGTGCTGAATGTGGAATAAAAAAGTTTAAGTTTGTCAAGAAGGGAAACTAGGTCAGCCTGTCCTAGGGGCAGGCGTGATAGACACAGTAGCTGGTACTGCTCTTGATGCGTTTGTACATCACGGGCTTCCTTGGATGGGTAAAAAGGCAGTTGAAATGGGAAGATATTACGGGTCAGAAGCATTACGTTATAAAAAGTTACAGAAAAAAGCCATCGATTACGCTCTGGACAAATTGAATCCAGTAATACACAATGTGGGGTCTCAAGCTCTTGACCAATTATCAACTAAAATAGGACCAAAGAAAAACTACAAAACTAACAGAAAAGATTTGGATGGAGGTGCTTTGGATATTCAAAATGTATTAAACCAAAAATAGCTTCCTGAATTTCATATGAGAACATGGAAAGGTAAAACGTATAATTATTGCGGTCCAAATACTAGGTTAGAGGAAAGATTAGCTCGAGGTGATGAGGGAATAAATAGACTGGATCAAGTTTGTACACAGCACGATATTGATTACAGTAATGCTCTGTCATTATCTGATAAGCATTCAGCGGATCAAAAAATGATAGATGCAATTGAACAATTCGGTCTTGGTTTAAACTAGAAAAGCCGTCGAGTAACAGTTGGCAACAACAATTAGCGGACGAATTACATAAACCAATAAAACGCAACTTTACTCGGCGGCGTGTTATTACAACCGGTATTGACAAAATTTGGTGCTCAGATCTGGTTGAGATGCAACAGTTCAGCAAATGGAACAAGGGTTATAGATATCTTCTCATGGTTCTAGATCTATTCTCCAAATATGGCTGGATTGTCCCACTGAAGGATAAGAAAGGGGAAACTGTCACAGAAGTATTTAAAACCATCTTCAAAGAGGGCCGCAAACCACAATGTCTTTGGACTGATAAGGGAAAAGAATATTAAAACAAAAATATGAAAGAACTGTTGGAAAAGAATAATATAACACTATATTCAACCGAGAATGAGGAAAAATGTAGTGTATGTGAAAGATGGAACCGTACAATTAAAACCAAAATGTGGAAGCAGTTTACTGTCCAGGGTAATACCGTATATTTAGACATACTGCCAAAAATATTGGAGCAGTATAATAACACCAAACACAGTTCCATTAAAATGACTCCTGTAGAAGCTAGTAAGAAGAAGAATGAAAGTACCGTGTATTACAATCTATATGGTGATATGAAGCAATTGTCATTTAAGCCCAAATTCAAGGTTGGTGATAAAGTTAGGATAAGTAAGTACAAGAGAAAGGTGTTCGATAAAGGGTACACACCTAACTGAACAGAAGAGATATTTCTGGTTGATAAAATCCAATCCACAAACTCAATCACATACAGATTAAAGGATCTCAATAATGAGGAAATACAAGGCAGCTTTTATGAGCCAGAATTACTACCAGCAAAACAGGATATATTTCGTATTGAAAAGGTCATTCGGAGGGATTATAAGAAGAAACAAGCTCTTGTAAAATGGTTAGGCTATAGTGACGACTTTAATAGTTGGATTCCACTAAGCAACCTGCAAGATTTATCTAACTAATAGTATATATGGACGATCATATAAGAAAGCTTGATACTAAAATCCAGCGTTAGGAAACCGAGCTTAATGCACTATTCACTAGAATCCAAAAATTGGAAGAAGAGATTGCAACATTATACCACAAGAAATTAATATGCAAAAAACTGGAAACAGTAGAAATGTCATTAACCGGCGTCCTAGGTGCAATCTTTGAAACAGAGGAAGAGGAGGAGTAAATTGGCAGCGTCCATAAAACGTGGACGGTGGGTTGGGGTCGTGAAACGCGACCTCAACAAAATGACACTAGAGGAAAATAAATTGCGGCAGTTTTGTTGGGGTGGTAAAACGCCACCTCAGGTCTAATGTGCTGAAACGGCACCTCAGGCCTAGCAAACTTTTTAATCGATCATTCCTATCATATAATATGGTCTGAATGATGATGTTTTTTATGTAACCTATATATATGATAAGAATGATTGAAAAAATGTTTGTTAATGACGATTTAGAAATTGAGCTGACATCATTTATTGATGATAAGCAAAATGTTTTGTTTGGTTCCGAGGAAAGGATATTGCTAAGATCCTTGGTTATAGTAAACCAGAGAATGCTATTGAGAGACATGTATCCAAAAACCATAAAATACGCCAAATTATCTGGTACCCCGTTTCAAGGAGTCAGGTCCAAAACCCACAAACCTCACCCGGCGAAACGCCGGGTCAAGGTAGATGGTGTACATTCATTGATGAGCCCGGATTTTATGAACTAGTATTTAACTCCAAATTAGAGTTTGCCAAAAGATTCCGTGATTGGGTATTTACTACAGTCCTCCCATCTATCCTTAAATATGGCCAATACAAACTGTTTGATAGTCCTTGGAATAAGATGATTATGATTGGCAATGAGACTGACCTCCATTATAAGGTTGTGGGCCTAATAAGGAAATATTATCCAGATTCCATATTTGTAGCTGGTCTGGGAGAGAATCAAGGTACTGATGAAAAACGCCTCGATTCATATAAGAAAGGATATATGAAAGGACAGCCTGATCTAATGGTACTCGATTATCACAAAGATTATAAAGGCCTCTGTGTTGAATTCAAATCACCAACTAATAATTATCATGTAAGTAAAGCACAATATGAGTTAATGGAAAAATACAGTAATAATAGCTA